TGTACACTACCGTGCAAAAGTTTGGAACCACTAGGTATTTTTCATACAAATTGACCATTTTTGGTGGACTCATTAACATATTTCGGAAACACCTGCACTCTTGATATTTTGTGCATAGTTTCTACAACGTTTCAATAGTAAATCACAGAGGTTTCATCAAAAAATATTCATGAATTTCAAAAATATAACAATTTGAATTTGTACTGTGTGAAAAATGATAAAATTTGTATGAAGATTAAAACAGATCAAATTCAAATTGATATATTTTTTAAATACGTGAATATTTTTTGATGAAACCTCTGTGATTTACTATTGAAACGTTGTAGAAACTATGCACAAAATATCAAGAGTGCAGGTGTTTCCGAAATATGTTAATGAGTCCACCAAAAATGGTTAATTTGTATGAAAAATACCTAGTGGTTCCAAACTTTTGCACGGTAGTGTATATATGTGCGTCATCCATTCTCTGTGTATATTATGAGGGCTTTGTTAACGCATCGAACAGCGTGAAACCAGAAGAAGAAAATCAACACACAAATTGAATCGATTGTTACTTTCTCAAACTACTTTATTTATGGCGACTTTTCTGTAGACAGGAAGTGAAATAAAGTTTCTGATACGGGCCGAGAACTGAATGAATCAATCCACAGCGTATTGTTTATAAGAGGTTTTTGAATCACAAATGGCTCTAGCACCCGTTTAGCTACTGGACGTTCAAGGAAATTATTTTATTAATCGAAAAAACAATTAAACCTTAAACATTCATTCAAATTTCCAATCGGATCTCCATTCATGGGGAGAGAGCTAAACTATCATATGAATATAAATCATTAAGCACATAATTATACCTATGGGGATTCGAAAAATGGAGCAGTGTTTTTTTTGCATTTTGGAATTTTGTCATTTCATTAAAAATTCAGTCTTAAATGTAATTAAGTGAAAATAGTACAAAATTAAATTTTGAAACAATATTTTCCTCTCAATTTTTTCTCTCTGTTTTTTTTTCTTTTTACTTCTTCTTCCATAATTGTTGTCTTTTGTTATCCCGGGGCGAAAAAGGGTGTGAACAAAAAACAATATTATCAGTATAAATCTCGGTTATTTAATAATATCTATATTACGTGGGGGGGGGGGGGTTTAATTTGATGATTTTTTTTTCAATGTTTCGATTGAATTTCTTCGGTGTTCCTATCACATTGTCCATCATTAATCATGGGATTGGTTGGTGGTGTATCGATTTCATCATCGTGTTGGTCGGACACTTGATTGGAAGCACTGGATTCACCCTGGTTCGTGTGCTCGTTCAATAGCAAAGATTCAATGTCATCATTATCATGTTTGGTCGATGATGAGAGACATTTGTTCACAATTGCACCAGCGGTACTAGTTTCTCCATTTCGCTTAGCTGCGAACTGTTGTATTTCCAATGCCCACACGTAGCAGTTGTTGCTACCGTGGCATGAACTATCTGAATTCTTTTTTCGTAATGTACAGGGTAAACTGACCGCCTGTGGAAAAAAAAAGAATGTGAATTTTTTTTCGGAAATCAATAGAAATCATCAGAAGAAAATCATTCGTTAAATTGTATGTACAAACCCGTTGTCGTAGTTCGCATGGTGCTAAATGATCCCTTGTGATATTGGAAGCTTCAATGCCCGGATTATGATGCTTTGATACAGCAACGTTTCGTTCAACACTGGCATCTGAACTGTCTGGTGCTCCAGACTGAGCCTGCAATTGCTGACGATATTGATGATAGGCATTGAATTCACGTGCAGCAGACCCAGTTGATTCCACCGAATGTCTTCGTAATGCATTCTGTAATTAATTTGAATCAAAAATAGTTTTCTCAAAAAAGAGTCACTTTCAGCATTCGAAATGAGTAGTTTGGAGCGAAAATGTTATACAGAAAAGTTGAGTGGAAAAATATCGATGATGAATGAGCGGAAACGAGGTAGCTATATAGTAAACTGTATGGTAAACTATAGTGAACTATATAGCTATTTCTTTTCCGCTCATTCATCATCGATATTTTTCCGCTCAACTTTTCTGTGTTACATTTTCGCTCCAAACTACTCAAATTTTATCGCCACTTACATTCGCATCCAATTGAATTATGAACGTTGGACTTACGCTATGCGCACGAATATGATCTAGATTGGACCCATTGCTATCACCATCTTCAACATCCATATCCAACTGAAGAATACTCTCTTGACTGCCCGTAAACTATTTTATTTATGTTTTTGGATTTGACATGTTTATTTTTGTTTTTCGTTTTGAAATCAGATTTGATTTGTTTTTTGTGTTAAATACAGGGACACGTGCACACAATTCAGTTTGACGAGAGATATGTTCAGACATACAATAAAATGAGAGACAAAGTGATTACTGTTATTACACTAGAACATTATGAGATTTGGTTTGGTTTTTGCAATGGTATTTGAACATATTTTTTCTGCTTAAAAACAAATACAGAGAGACCACATGATGTGATGGTACACAAACGCACACACACAAATTATTCTTCTTTTTTCTTTCAAATTCCCATCGAAATTTGGTGTTTCGATTAAACTCCAAAATCAAACCGACTTCTTCGCCAAATACATTCATTCATCACAGTTTTTTTTTTCTTTCAATTAAAATTATCTATTTAAATATCGAAGTAATACATTATGTGGCACTCTGAATCATCGTTATTCATATTCTGTCATTTGGAAAAGAAAAACAAAGAAAAAAAAACGTTTATCGAGCTAATAAATTCAAATAAATTTCAAATGAATTGGCGATGAACAGCATGAATTCCGTTAAAAATGTCATTTTATTAATTGGATGATTGTTGGTTTTCTCATCGAATATGAATTGAATTAAATAAAAATAAATAGAAAAGTCATGCATTTTATGTATTTTTGTTATTAGAAACGAAACAAGTACAATACTGAAAAAACAGAAGGAGCAAACTAATAAAAAAAGAAAAGAAATAAAAACAATAAAATTGAAATAACAAGAAAATTGAGGGGAAAAAAAGAAATTAGCTAGAAATTGTTATTAAATTTGAAAAAAAAAGTAAAATAATGTTCCCATTGAAAAAATACCATGTGTTTTTGATTTTATTGCGATCATAGTTTATTTTTGATTTGTTTTGTTTTGTTTACGTTTTAAATTGCTTATTAAAAGTATACATATCGAACTACTCATATTCTTTTTTTTTTTGTTGTCTGTCAATATAATAAAGAAAAAGCAATACAGAGCAAATTTTACAAATACGTTTTACAACTTGCATTTTTTTGCGATCTTATTCCTTAAATATTTCAACGCACATCCGTTAGCCGATAGATATTTTAGTTTGTATAGCGGTTACTGATTGGTTTTCGAAATATTTAGCCCCGAAAAAAAGGATTGCGAAAAAAAATACAGCAAATGGATGAAGTAATAGCAAATAAAAAGAAGAAGATTTGACCATTAAATGAAGCGATACGGGATAGAGGAAGGCAAAGTACGATTTCAGTTCCAATCCGAATAGACTGGCCCCTGATTGATTTGTTCATCATATTTGGTACCATCTCTTCAATTATATGAACAGCAGTAGCGATTTGGTAGTATAAGTTGTGTTGCAGAGAAAAGAAACAAAAATTAAGTATTTTCCATCGTATTTATCACTGGCTTTTTACGAAGATAAGTATAAAAGTTTGTGTCGTTATTTTCTTTCAATAAAAATCGTCTGTGCCGAGAATCGGTAAAAATAAATGAAATTCAAAATTGATTGAAATTCCACCATCTCGAAATTCATTATGTTTTTCTTTTCAACGTCAATTAAAATCCAAATACGGAAGCAATCATATGATATTGAACGTAAAATACGAAAATTCCATTGAGCTTCTGCAACAATAAATTCAAACAATACACAATGTTTGTTTTGTTTGAATGAATGATTTGCAATCGTTGTTGACCTTGTGCAGCGCCGATGAGCGGTTGAGAACGCGTCGTAATTAATGTAGAGAAGAAAAAAACACAACAGCAATGAAAATTGAACGCACAAATACGATTTCATTTTTTTAAACAAATGTTCTACTTAAGAAATACATCATTTATATAGATACTTAAAACGTGTGTAAATAGACATTTTAGATAGACACATTATTTTATCGTTACCATTTACACGGAAGAAACGAATGTGGACTAGATTGTGTGGATAATTTTCGAATTTCCTTTCTGTGTCTTTCGGTGTTCGTTTTTTTTTGGTAACTGAGAACCAGTTTATGATATAGTATTCAGTGCGGTCAATTGATTGCAATCGGCCTGATCAATTCCACCCTTATTTCGAATGCGGGTGCTTGACATCGTTCGATTGAAGTTTTGCACCGTTGCAATTCGGATTTATTATCACATGATTTTCACTTGTATCAGATGATGATAATTCGGTCAAAATTCGGATCAAATAAACAATTCCCATTAATTGTTTCTGTTTGCACACAAACATTGCACTGAGCGCGTGTTTGCTGTTGTACAATAGGCTGAAACCCGGCGAAACAAATAATGCTGACTCAGTCGTCAAAGAAAAGAAAATGAAAATGAATGAAATTCAAGTCATTCACATTTTATTATATTATTATTATTAATTTGTCTCTTGTGTTTGGTTTTTCTATCTGTCGTCTAAAACTGAACGAATCGTTTTTCACTGTTTTCTTCTGTTCATCGAATACAATTTTGTTTTTTTTTTCTTGTTTTTGTTTTAAATAGCGACTCAACGCAACCATCGGGAAGAATAAAAAAAACAACATACGTACAATATATATATATATGTGTGTGTGTGTGATGAATGCACCGACTTAAACGTCAGATACACGTCTACTGCTACTGGAATCATTTAAATTGTTCGCCTTTGCATTTGCATTTCGATTCGGATGTGAAGTGTTATCGATAAAACTACTAAACGTACACACATTAACGTTGTTGCAATTTTGCAAATTGGAACAATTGCTATTTGATAATCGAGTATTATCGGTATTATTGGCACTACTTAATCTACTGTTACAACGATTAAAATTACTACAGCTACTACTACTACCTCCCACATCCAAATGATCGTTATGAATCAGATTTGTGTTGTTTGAGTTGAAATTACTTATGTTTAATGATTGTGATGTGGGTGTAATGGCAAGAAATTGATCAGATTGTCGCGTGATCGACAGTGTATCGCTGCGAATATCGTTGTCATTTGCATTGATTATCATCGAGTGTGCAGCCACTGTATGATTTTGACTGTTTTGATTTTGATAGCTTGCTAGATTTTCTGCTGGTGGTGCGGTTGGTGATTGAACACTAGCTGTACTAATTGATTCATTTGCGGGCGTTTGCACACCCAAAATGAACCCATTTAAATTGATTATTTGATTTTGAGCACCCACCACAAAGCCATAATGTTTCAGGATGTCCATTTTGCACATCGGACAGGTGCGATGTTCGAGCAGCCATGGATCAATGCAGGCCTTGTGGAATTCGTGTCTGCATGGAAGAAGAGATTAGATTGGTTTTGTTCATATTGCTCATATTGTTTCGAAAACAAATCCGGGTACGCTTGATAACTCACTTGCATGGTAAGACGCGAAGAACATCCGTTGTTTTGTATGGTTCGATGCAAATGGCACAGCAATCGTTGTCATTATCTGTCGTTTCTTCCGATTTGATGCTTTTGGTTGGAATTTTGGCGATGACTCTCTTCGCTACCGTACATAATTGCCGCTGAAATTATACAATCAAATGGATTTTAATATTTGCCACAAAACTTGCGTTTGACATCGCTAAACTCACCGATTTTCGATCTTTAGTCTGTAGATATCGGAATCGTTGAACGTAGTAGAAAACAAGCCATACAAACGATATAATCATCAGAACAATAAACGATATTGATACGAACAAAACAGATGTCCTGCAAATGAAATACACACAAACACACGCATACATTTATTTAGCATGGACATTTTTCGGGAAGGAATGCAAAAAAAAAAACAAGTCATCATTATTCATTTTCTCTCACCGGTTTATGTTTGGAGGTTTCCCATATTTGCCCGGAGCAATTGAAACTTTCAAATCGATTCGTTCCTCATCTACAATTCGAGCTAATTGCTCGCCGACCAATTTATACGTGAAAACAGCTGTGATATTTCCTGAAAAATTGTATAAATACGACGATTGTATTAAATGTATGACGATTCACAACATCTATGTTTGTATTTGTATGGTATTGTGCAAGGCAATTTTTGGCACAAAATCAAATATTTGGTTGGACACTGCAGACTTCTGCCCGGCTAAAACTATTGATTTTCATTTATTTGCTTAATTTTTTTGAATGTCATTGCTGACAAAATCGTTCAACAAGTTCAAATGGATCATTGACGACACCGTCATCGTCGTCGTCGTCATCGACGGTAGTCATGTTCCGAAGTGCGCTTAGTCAGTGTTGCTTCCGGCTGGACATTTCGGTTAGTTAGACAACGGTAGATTAAGCCAATTTGCGGTGAGGATTTTTGTTTGTTTTCGTTTAGAAGTGGCACATTTGCCTCACTATGGCTTCAGTAAAATCGATCGAAGACAAAGAGAAAACAAGCAAAAGAAAAAACGTGAACTGAAGATGTATTGATTTGAAACATCACTGCGGCTAAGTGTCTGTCCTAAGGAGACATTTCGCAAGATATTTTTGTGTCGTTGGAAATTCCTCCATAAATAGACGTTTCCACCTAGAGACAAGCAATAGGAGAAAACAAAAATGCCGATTTGGACAACTTACGTGTTTTATCGTCAATTTTCATTTTATCGAGGGATGGCACTTCCTTGAAGTCATACACAATGGCACCGATCGCACCTTTGCTGTAAACACGTGCAACTTTATCATCAAATTTACAGTCACCTCGCTTGATCAGTGCAATCCAGCCTTTTTCAGGCAGTGGCCCACCAAGCGTACCAAGAATATCGCTCGAGCAAGCCATGTGGTCGGATTTATTCTTTGGGTTGGTGACATGAACCAATGGGCCCGTCACCGATGTGATTGGACCTTCACCATATTTTGCCGTCTCATGCGCGTAGACCACGTGATGGCCGTCAATTCGTTCATAAGTATAGTTGATGTAAGCCAATGCATAGTATTCGGCCGATGGATGGCTGCGTCCGACTTCTGATGGAAATGAGTAAATTACACCCGGTTGGATGTCATTCTGTGAACCGAATGCACCCAAATCAGCTGGCTGTGGAACAACCCATTTGGACTGCAGTAGCAGTGTTGTTAGCAGCACTAATGCCTGTGTCTGAGTCATTTTCGTTGTTGGTAATGTTTAATTTTTGTTTAGTCTGTTGTCTATTTTTACTAAATTAGGCGAAACCAAAAATCGTCGCGATTTTGTTCAGTTCCGCTCAATTTTTTTCGTTTCTGTTTTGTTTTTCAGCTTGACGATGATTTGTCAGTTGTTGTTGTTGTTGTTATTATTATTATTATTATTATTATTACTTCGTTTGTTACACACAAAATAGAGATGATGAGTCTTGCGTGCGCATTAAGCTATTTGTTTCGGTTGTCGTTGAGATATTTTGAAAAGCACGTTTTCACCGTTCCGTCGATTTGCACGTGTTGCGCTGCTGCTGCTGTTGTTGTTGCTGCTGCTGCTGTTGCGGCGGCTGCTGATGAGTCCGAAATCAAAGAGTGCGAAGGAAAAAAAGCAGATATTGTAAACAGAGAAATGGTGAATCACTACGTTATATTGCACACCGGCCGCGAGTCGGTTACAATTTTTTGATGATTTATTTTGGAAAAATAAAAACAATTGGAAATACTATTGAATCATCCGGAATTAGTTATTACTTACTTTCTCTATAAAAACGGTGATGTGTGTTTACGTTCGTCGATGTGCACGCTTGCGGTTGCTTGCTTGGTCGCTCGCTCGCTCGTTCGCTTGCTTGATGATGAAAATCTGAAATCGAAAGCGAAACATAAACAATTAACGTCAATTTTAAAATGGAAAACGAACTCTTATTACTTAACACATTGAAAAAGATAAATATCGTATTGGGTTTTTTTCTTCTTTTTTCTCTCATTTTTCATCTTACATAGTTTAATAAGCATGAACCTCTCGGATATTTGGACGACTATAGTGCGTTGCTAAGGTACGTGGAAAAAGTTTGCTTTGCAAGTGTTCAACAATGATTCATTGTCACCGCAATAGTTTGGTCTCATATGGTGTTTTCAGTTATTGAAACGCTACAAGTGACAGACGGATTCAGTTCAATATACTATCTTTCAAATGAAAAGTTGTGTGAAAAAATGCGTGAAAAAAACAGTCTCCTTGTGGTTCATGCACATAGTCTCGCCACACGCGAATGATTTTTTCCCGAAATCGATTAGCTGCCGTTGCGGCTGCTGCTGCTGCTGCTGATTGTGAGCTCAAGCTGTGCATCGAGTTGGTACTTTTAGATAGATACAGAAGCATGTTTTTCTCAAATTTTTTTTTCTTCTTATTGCCCCTTCCCTTTGATCATGCACCATGAAACGGGCCAAACACATTATAATGTGTCAAATTTCAAATTGAACTTGGAAAAGGGCAAAAGGCGGAAAAATCTAGTAAAATTTTAGCGAATGAGTAATCGAGAGAATTGAACGAACATTTTTTTTTGTATCTTTCGTTTCTCATGCAAAATAAGCAGATATAAACTTCATTTCATTACATCGTCGTATATATTGAACGGGCCGTAGTTTTTTTTGTTTTTTTTTTATTGCAATATGCCTACTTAATATTCATTGCAGTTCTGATGAAACAAAACAACACACACAAAAACAGGCTCAGGTAGAAACGCACATCCAACGTTTAAATAAATACTGCTGGCTTTGTTTCTAAATCGGTTGTTGTTGGGTTTTTCGTTGTTGTTATTTGGTTGCGTATTCGGAAGTAGAAGTTCAATGCATACAAAACAATCCAATAATTAATCTGGCATATCGAAATCATCTATTTTTTTTATTGTTGTTGTGCGTGTCTTATGCGTGATTTGACTCAAAAATTAGATTCTGGTCAGCCGACCTCTAATTAGATTTGAATATAATCAAATCGGATTTCTCTCTCTCTCTCTCTCTCTCTCTCTCTCTCTCTCTCTCTCTCTTTCTGTCTGTCTTTCCCCCCAGATAGAGATATCTGTCTGTCGACACGAACTTGCTGTATGGGTGCTGAGAAATCTGTCGTAAATTTATGGTGGGTGTCGGCAGCTCGAGAAAAATGTCACCACATTATCCGCATGGTTTAGAATGATAATTAATAATTGCTTTAACATTTAAATAAATCGCGCTAAATGAAAAGCCTATGTGTACTTTATATCTTTTTCACTCTCTCTTGCTACGGCTAATTACGGTAAGTATTTATATATACTTAACAATTTGATAGGATTTTGCGGAAGCAAAAAAGCGTCGCGTATCTTTTGTTCGAGAGCATGCAAATTTTCATAAATAATAGATTTCAAGTTGCGTTCATATTTTATAATATGTCCGCAATTAAAACGGTGAGCGTATATTTGCTTATCTAAAGAAACGGTGAAAATGTTGTTGGATTTTATAGCGTATGTAGTTCGTTACAATACAAAATTTCTTTTTTATTTTAACGCTAAATTCCAAATAAATCGACTTTATTTACAAATGTCTATGGCGTTTACTTTTCGCAATAAAATATTTGCAATTCCAATTGTTGTACAGTTTTTTGTGTTGTTTTCTTTCTTTAGTTAAGTCTATTTGGTCCTGTTCTCTTCCGAAAGTGAACGTCACACAGATAGACAGTTGCTTGGGAATAATGTCGAAGCACAACTAATAATGTACCAAAATGTGGAACGGATAATGGGGTGCAACAGCAACAACAACAACAACAACAACAATAACTAAGTGAGAAACAGAAAATCGCACAAAAAATTAACAATTTTTTTCGACAAGAGCACACTTTGTGTGCCCACCAATCACGGCCGTATTCAGCCATACGCTTGGGTGAGCTCAGCTCACCCAAAAATTATTTGAGCTCACCTAAAAATGCTCGACTCCCAAAATTATTTTAGCTATAGTTTTCGCTGTAGTTAAGAATCCTCTGAAAAATTTTGCTCGCTCCGCTCGCAACTCATTTTTTTTCATTTGAACATTACACAAATTATATTTTTCTTACACTTTACCAACATAACTGAAGCCAAATATGATGATTAAAGTGAAAACATTTTGACCACATCAATGCAAAAGTCAACTATATTGAAAAATTTCCTAATTTCTCTAATTATAGTACGATTTTCTAACTGAATACTGAAAATCTATATTTCTGTAGATACGTAATTTCTAGCGAATCGTTTGAGTTATTTTCCTATTGATAATAACTAATTTACAATGGCTGTCGTGTGTATTGGTTTTTCAAGAAAAATTTCTGCATCAAATTGACAACATCAACACAGTGTAAACCATTGTCTTAAATTGATATGTTAGTTCTGACGTGGCATATTATAAAGTTCAAGCAATACAATACGAATAACAATTTCAAATTACTACAGACACTAAATTGAATCTGATGGGATTAAGAATCCTGATGATTCGCTAGAAATTACAAATCACGTGTTTCACCGTGATATAGTGTGAATCTGTGAATGAAGCGTTTTTGGAATAAAAGGAATGAAGTTCCAAGGGGCTGGGATCTCTATAAAATCACATTTTATACATTATTTGATTATTTGTGGCTTTTACACTAGACAGAATCGATTTTCAAAATTAATGACAGTTTCATAATCATCAAATTTTGCTGCGCTCACCCAAAAATTCTCTCCGCTCATCCAAGAAATTTGTGCTGGCTACGGCCGTGCCACCAATGACACAGAAATTGAATAAAGTATATATCTATTGGTGAGACGTAAAAGAACGCAAGTTGGTCCAACTTCGTAGCAATAAAGAGAAGTATGTTTCATTGCAACTAATAATGGTTAAAAGAATGTATGTTCGTTTTTAGCAGGTCCTCGCGGTTTTTCACGGTTTCCGCGGAACTGATAAGAGATAACAACTTGGTGTCTTCGGCAAAGTTGTAGCACTTGAGGTCTTCTATAACATTGCTGAAGTCAGTTATCTCTTATCTCTTATCAGTTAAGAGATAAATGTCTGCAGCAATGTTATAGAAGACCTCGAGTAATACAACTTTGCCGAAGACACCAAGTTGTTATCTCTTATCAGTTCCGCGGAAACCGTAAAAAACCGCGGAGGCTAGACGGGATGCCAACATACTTCTTTTTATCGCAGATAGAATCAACAGAAAACATACTTTCCTTTTCAAAAATATAAATCGACAAAGATACATACATTCTTCTACGTCTCACGAATAGATATCAAGATCTAAATACAATTAGTGCGCTTTAGTTTTTTCGTTGGCTTTGATAACGGCCGGACGATAAGAATGGTGTTCGCTCGTTTCTAAGGTGTTGTTATTTTCTTTTTATTTTTGCAATTTGCGGTTGAAATGTGACACAAGCCAATCGCGATCCACTTCTCACGGTATTTTGTTTTCATTATCTCTCTTTCTTTCGCTCGCTTCACTATACCGCCTACCTAGGTGAGGTTTGATTACATGGAAGTCGTCTCACATATTTGGAAAAATACATGTATGTATCTCAATTGAGTAATGATGACTTGACCATGAAGTGCTCGTGGAAACACATTTATCATGTTTAGTATAACAAAATTTAAGTGCAAATTCTTCGAATTTTGCTTTCCTTCAATATCAGCTGAAAAATTTTCGGCATTTTTCGTCGTTGCTATTTCGAGCCGTTGCTATATTCATATCGTTTTCGTTGATTGGCAAAACAAATTAAAATGCAAACAGTGCCAAATGAAAACAAGCAAAACCGTTTATTTGGTATATAGCGAATGCAATCGAAATTCACAAAAGACACATCTAATTCGGATATTTATCACACTTTAATCGGAAATAAATACACCGACCGAGCGCGTCATTACGATTGTCAACGAATATATACGTGTATGCCAAAATTAGTTTGAGGTAGGAATGAATCAACAAAATAGAGAATCGGTATGAAATAAAGCAGATAATGGAAAGTGATAATTATCACTTTATTAATAATAAAAGAACGGATAAAAAAACAAGTGTCAATTATCAATCGGCTCTCAATCGAACTGATAATATGGTCTGAATCCACCTATGGTCATGAAGCTGTTGCGCATTTGATTTCAATCGTATCCATTCTCAAATGAAAGTACACAATTGAATCTCATACAAGAAATGATGTGTGCAATGACATTTGCTTCCGTGTACTAAAAACGGGATTGCATTTTGCGAGACATACAGCAAATTGTTGAAAAATCGTTAGATACGGGACAGAGCACTCTTTGGTCTTTCACTAAATTAGCATCATTTTTAGTTTTTTTTTGTTTTTTACCAAAACTATAGAATTCTGACTATTGCGGCGCCTATTGACAGTCTATCAAACAAACAACAATAAATGCACACAAAATGAAAATCATTCGTTTGTTGGCCGAAACTCGGAAGACTGTTTGTTTTTGAATTATTCGTTTGGTTTCAACTACATTAAATGTGTGTGATAATGAAAATTGAATTACGATGATATAAAAAAAACGAGTGCCGACTTCATAGAAATGGAAAAAGAGTGAAAACGATATTAGCCGCTTGCAATAAACGTTTCGAAGCGATATTTATAGCAGTGTGGTGGGCATTTGAATGCTTTTCGCTCACATCGTGCATACATGTATGTGTGTGTGTGTGTGTGTGTGTGAATGTGTTTGTTTTCAGTGCCAAAACCAAAATTCATCGAGCGAATCATTAGAAAGCAACCACAAAATCGGCCACGTGAGTTCATAGTGCGTTTTGTGAAGCAAATCTCTCTATACACGTTATAGAGATTTTTTTTTTAAATTTTATGCTCTCCATCTCTATCTCCCTCTCACTCGTTCTCTTTTTTATTCACATTTTTATTGCATACATATGCATTGTTAGCATTCGACTAAAGTAAACACTAGAAAAATCTCGTTATATATGACAAGTAGTTGTTCGTTTTGCATAAAATTGCAAAATGCAAAATCGGTTTTGTATCGAGAGTTAGCTGCGCCAAATAGTAGTTTCGTTGCCTGAGCACCGCCGATGCACATATGTTACACGGAGAGAGTACGGAACTCAGCGAACAAACGATGAATAACATGTGCAAAATATTTGCAATCGGAATATATCGATATAGTATGTAAACAATATCGAAGAAAGAAACGTCGTCGTCGTCGTCGTCGTCGTCGTCGTCGTCGTCGTCGTCGTCGTTGTTTTGAAAATTGCACATTGTAAATGTGAATATGAATATGAATGTATGCATTAATGTGATTTGAATGCGTCATGAAGTGCGATTTCTTTGGGTAGTATGTGTGTATGTGTGCCTTGGTATGCATGTGAACAAAAAATAGACAGGGATACACAATGAAATGCGCCACTGTAAATACAACTAAATGTAACAAAAACGAAAACCGACGACTGCAAGAGCCAATACTGAATATGGCCGGCCGTCATCGTCGTCGTCGTTGTTGTTGTCGTCGCGCTACACGATGCCTTCACGACACCAGTCAGATAATGTCGTAAAAATAGAGGTTTTAACAAGTTTAAGGCAATTAAATAAACGTGCAATCATATTTAACTTATGAATAAATTTGCAAGACCAAACACCAGCCAGCAATGACGGCAAAACGTGGCCAAAAGGTGAGAATAAAATAAACCTGACGTTTTGGTCAAAATAAAAATATAAACACGGTGATGCCACGGTGAACCAGTTTTTGGTTTTGACAAAAATGCGAACACCATTATTTTTCGTACAAATGTATGCGGTTTTTTATTTTGTGGTGGCCAATGTAAATGCAATTTTATGCATCATTGCTGCCGCATCACATTCACCCTTCCACCCAGCCTTTTCGTTCGTTTCTCTCTCTCTCTCTCTCTCGTGTGCGCTATTCTGTACGGAATATCTAAACATTTTTGAATCGTCGTCTCTGACTATCCAACGATTTGCAGACTTGTAGCTTTTTTTGTATGCTTAACAGAAGGCTGTTCTTGATATAAAACTGCGTTACGGCCACCTATATTTCCGTGATGCATTTCCGCTTTCGGTGTGATGATATTCGCGCAAGTGGAATTGCCAAATGCGAATCCTACCTTGGTGTATGCGGTCAGTCCCCGGGCCAGTTTTTGTGTGTGATCGAAAGTTTTTCTTTACATATATAGTTATATATGCATACGCGTGAAAATGTCTGCACACTGATTCATGATCATCGTTATCACACAGGCTATTTATGCAGATTGCAGCGCACAAAAAACGAACAGCACTGACGAAACGAATGACCAAAGAACATTGATTTCATTAAAAGTTAAATGACGTGGGGTTTTCTTTGTCAGCGTTTTTTTCTCTTCGCTTTTGCTTTTGTTGTAAAACTATATACAAGTAGCAAGTGCCCGAATTGAGTAATAAATGCAGATTCCTTGTGTCTTGCACTTTGTTTTTTGTTCTGTTTTTTCGGTATGTGTCTCTTTAAATTGGCAACAACAACAAATTGACACCTACTCAGTTCACTGCATTCATTTCGAACAACGGGTATGCGAAAGATTTACAACGAATCATTATTGAAATCGAATGTCAAACAATAAAAAAGAATATTTTCGTTGTTGTTCTTACTATAATGTTTTGGTGTGTCTCCTACATACTATGTGCACACACACACGAACACGCACCCATACATTCAAATAATTCAAAACAATTGACATATTTGTGGAGCACAGAGCGTCCCAATCCAAAGTTACAGCAATAACAATGTAAACAGCAGAAAATTTCATATTTTCAATTATGAGGGTCAATGATTTTTTGAAGGCTATAATCGTATGTGCACTCATCTCTTCTTACTATCGAGGCGAGCGTATAGAATTTTGCAAGTGGGTGAGTGAATGAGACAGAGAACATCGTCTCTTCACATTTCATTTGATTGTATGCGGAATATGTTTTTAATTAAACATACGCTTACTCGCCTCAGTTATTTCGTACTTTTGTACTGTCAAGAAATGCGCAAATATTCTATCTTCAGCGTAATTATATGTTGTGTATGGCTCACATTGCGCCAGATATACCGATGTGCTGCACATTCAAATTTTCAATTTTTCTGATCAATATACTGATCATTTGTAAGCGTTTTTTTTTAGTTTCGTCTGATTGAGTCTATGCAGAACTGTCGCACTCAGTGAAAATCTATGTGCTGCTTGCATTGGCATGAGTTGAGAGTTTTGGAAACGTGAGCAATATGATAAATCCGTTGAAATTATTCGTTTCGCTTTGTGAGCGCATACGCGCAAAGTTGAGTCATCACTTAAGCCTCGGATTTGGCTGATATTTTATTTGAACCATTGCATGAAAATTCGAACATAGACTGGATGTATGCATATGGCATATGCATGCATTCTAATTAATTTTCAAACAATTCTTTCAAGACATGTGATTTAACATAAGCGATTGATATGATATGTCGCCCGAACGAACTTGATAACGACTTGATAGGAAAAGATTTTAGCGCACTGCGACTATGGCAATGACAGTCAAAACACAAAATTAATTATAGTTTTGCCATTCTCCAAACGAATGGGCCGATAATTATAATCTTGACTCAACTGATAAATTTGTAGGCACACTTACTGGCGACTGGCGGTGTATTTCTGGGCTCCTTTTTATTACCTTATCATTTATAAATATAAAACCTGATGATAAGGTGCATATAACGATAAGATAAGATTTGGATGTTATCAACGTGAATGTCAAGTAAACTCGGGAGCGAATAAGATAAGTAGACGGATAGCAAGGATGTAGAGTTAAGACAAATTGTGTACTTTGTTTTTTTACGCGTGTGAACAACCAAGCACAAAGTATTATAAAATAACATACCTAATGATGTTTATGACAAAACATGTGATTGTTTTGATTCAAGTCGTCTCGAAATTATTCATTCATCAATCGGTTGTTTGTACCTGTGCGTGTGTGTTTGTGTGCGAAAACCAAACCAGACACGTCTAAATGATTAGCCGAGAATTTTATTGGTCGTTTACATGTCGCACGTTCTCAAGAAAATAACGTTCAAAAATGATTGCCATCGACCACGAATGATCTGCCATTTGACCGAAATTGCAATGGTTCGGTGCAGAAGTGTGCGGATCGCTGAGAGAAAATTATACGGTGACATATGATACGATTCAGTTAGTATGAATTAGTTGATGAAACTAACGGCAGATGAGAATCACTGGACTAAAAAAAAGAATAATTTAAAAACGACGCACAAAATTGAGTCATCGTCAATTGATGGCAAGTTCGAAACGAATTGGTTGTGTAAGCTGGCGATTTTTTTTTTAATTTTTGTTCGTTCGTTCTCTCTGTGCACTTGGTGGTAGGCTCTTTTTTTCTCAGTAGAAGATGTTTGAATCGAAGAGAGCGTTCATTGTCCCTACTTTCATCGCATTTGTGTGTGCGGTTTTTTTATCGTTTCGCACACGTTTCTTTCTCGTGATGTGATCGAATTGAACGAATCGGTACTTTTAACCGAGAGGTAATATCACGCATCTTAACTCTGCAAACACGCTATATGTCATGCTCGGATCCATCAATAAATACCAGCTAACCCCATAGCATTGGAAGCATATCATGCATTTTTCTAACTCTATGTGTGGTACTGTAAGTATAACTGTACCAGTTTTTTTTCTCTTCACAGAATAATTTGAACCGAATGCCCGATGTTTCATTCCATGAACGATAGTTGAATAACAACGGCCCCGAAATAAGTCCGAAAGAAAATAGAGAGAAATAAGCTATGAAAAGAAAACATAGGAAAAAGGGGAGAAAAAAAAAACGATATGCGAGCAAAAGACCAATAGCTGACAATGCAATACTCGGAAATCGATTTTTGAGGCTCTGCCTAATGACAGAGATGCCAACGACAATTTCAGTCTTTGGAAATTTGTGTTACAAGCCTTTTTTTAATCATTATTTGAACAAAACGAACTGAAAATTAAAACAATAAAGGTTTACTAACGACAAAGAGCAATGAAATAAACAAACCTTCGGCACCGTACGTTGATCTTCTGTAAAGGTTTTGTTTCCACGTTATCTCTAAATCTGCTCGAGATGTGCAAATACTTGCGTCGCGTTGTTCTAGTCAGCACGTACGCGTTCAATTGTTAGCCACCTTCTTCTTTTTCCCCCTTTTTTTCAGTCGTTGATTCAGTTACTTTCGTCGTATTTGTCGACATTCACTTTAATTATGATCGCCGTTTGATTTATTCAGTTTTAATTAATTTCGTTCTAACATCGACACATAATTCGATGTGACTAATCGATTTTCGGTTTGCCGTTATTCGATGACGTTGAATCTTTTATTGAGATACAACATTCCAAATGGTTGGTTACTTGAAGTGAGCAGCAAAAAAAACGCGTCAATATTATTATGTTTTGCTTTTGTTTCACAATTCAAACAAAGCCAAAATAATAATCTTCACTCTTTTTCCCGTAAAATTCACAGTGTATTGAAAATTTGCCGCAATTGACTTTATTTTAAAAGCGATGAAAACAAATAAGAAACAGTCCGCTTGTCGATGCTTATGATTAAGTGATTTTCATCTAGCTTCGTTGAACTCCGTTGACAATACCTTTCTTTCACACTCTTTCTGCAACGGTACATTTGCTTTGATGCAAAATTGACACAGTAGATTTGAGTCTCTCTCTCTCTCTCGGTGATGAAATTCGTGCAGTGCGAGTGCAAACGTGATTCTTTTCCTTATTGCTTGGTTTCTATCTATCCAACTCTCTCTCTCTCAATGTAGACCTGGCGTCTCGTGAGATTTGTCGATATGTTTGTCGAATCGTTCGTATGTACCGTACTTTGTAATCACATCATTATCACACCCAAGAAAATATGTATATTCACTTTAAGTCCTAGCAAATGTCACCTCAACGAAAGATGGACGATGCGTAATATTTGTTTTTTTTTTCGGGTGTTTACGTTGCTATTTTCATTACTTTTTCGTCAAACTCCCTCTTTGTTGTCCATGGGCAGCGAACAGTAAGTAATTTTCAGTATGTTGTTGTTTATTTACAGTCTATCCTCTTGCACAAAAACGTATAGACATATATATATATAAATTCACTTTAATTTTTCACTTAATAAGTTTTGTCGCTATTTAATGACCGAATTGAACATCGAATGCGAAACGAAAAGAAATAAACAACCAAAAACAACACTATCGAAATAATAAGATACGTGAATCTTATTGATCTTGATTGAAAAATACTTGGAAACTCGAATACAAACTTGGCTGCGAGTACACACAATTTATTTCGAATCAAAGCATGAAGTAATAATCGATTTTATGCGGTCATTGAAAGTTCAATTCAAGATGAAGAATGAACAAAATCCAGTTTCAGCTCTTTTGTTTTTCTCGCTTCTCTCTCTCGCTCGCTCGCTCGCTCTTTTTCAATTTTTTTTCTTTTGATTGTGGCAACCAAAATAGCTCTGCGACTTTGAGCAAATTGAATTTGTTGAGTGGTTATAATTGTTATGTTGTTGTGATGCTTCCCGTTTTTCTTTATCGAATGACACACCAAAGAAAATAAAATCTGCGCTCCTTTTCCAAATATTTCGAAAAAAATCGCGAGAAATATTGAAAAATTTAACACACTTTTGGTTTTACAACAGCAAAAAAAATGCTTTTCTTTGTTCAATTGCGACAAAACAGATGAATTTGTCGAGATTTTTGTTAGAGGTAATTTGCGTTAGGTCGTTGTCGCTTTCTTTGTTTATTTCTGTGTCTCTCTTTTTTTTCTTGCACCGCTTTTCAAACAAACAGCTAAAAATGAACTGAAACCAAATGTTTGGATAATGGTTTCGACTCGACAAGTAGTGCACAGCGCGCACATAAACAGTCGAACGTCTGCTGTGTTCATTGTATGACGTCGATTGTCAAAAACAACATTGCTATGTCTGTGTGCTGATTCATAGAGGCTATCATGGGTCTGTGTGTATTGCGTACTGTTTGTTCAGCAGGGTCTAAAACATCCATTTTGAAAAAACTTGCTTCTTTTTTTCTTTGACTTCATCTCGCGAAATAAGCGTTGTATAATCGAATGAGAAAAAAAAGACAAATTATTTTCATTACAGTCGTAGGTTTATGTTTTGGGCTCTGCTATGGGATTGTACGTACATAATACACGTTGAGATTGCTTGTGTAATTGCACGTTCGTTGCTTGGCTGTGTGCTCGTGGCTCGTCTACAAGGAGGTAATGTGTATATCCATTTTGGATCTTATGAACGTATCTTAGTGTGGTAACGTTTGTGCGCCTGTAGTCGTGAACACCAATAATAAGTTCCTTTACATGTGACTGTTACTGACAGCGTCGTCACTGCTCCACGTACACGTACATACATTGTGTGTATTTCTTGCTGCTGCGTCTTTGTTTGGTTCGTGCTCACACACTATCAGCCATCTATATCGTCACAAAGGCACAACACATGTTGTGGTAATTATTGTAGTCGTGCGGGTTTACAACTAGTCCGTTCTATTATGGCTCGTTACGAAGAGAAAAAAAATTCGTTTCCTGAATAATATTCAGTGAATGTGGTGTGGTTGTGAGCCATCACCATGAGCGCTTCTTTGTTTAGATGCACTCAAAGATATGTACTGTATTTCGCATTGTTCATTGTAAATTGAACGAGCTATCTGCACTCGTAATCCGTTATTTTCTATGATTCGAAGGAATGCAACGGGGCTAGAGATTTAATCTGCACATTTTCCATTATAAATCTGTTTTTTTTTCTTTTAACTTTTAAGGCGATAAAACCAGGATCGCCTAAAACAAAAATTGTATCTATAAACTGAATGGGCAAGCGGAATAATGAAACGTAATTCTGTTTTTAAATGAAGTGCCTCTGAGAAAAATTTTCAGTAAAAAAGCCCCACAAAAATATTGTCTGAATAAGATTTTCATACAAATTTTTATCAGACAATATTTTTGTGGGGCTTTTTTACTGAAAATTTTTCTCAGAGGCACTTCATTTGAAAACAGAATTACGTTTCATTATTCCGCTTGCCCATTCAACTGTATATTGACTTGAACTATAAATTGTATCATGAAAAAAATGCCGACAGTTTCATATTGTTAAATCTTTTTTTTTATTATTTTAACATTTTATTCATTCCAAATGGCAACTTTTAACAGGAAAAAAACACTTTCGCATTAATTAATTTGGCTGCAAAATGAAATTTCATCAGAAAAATACGATAGTAATTTATTAAATTGGACTAGAAAATTCGTTGTATTTGTATTGTCAGTTTTGATTTTGGCACAAAGATTCAGAAGATTGCCATCAAGTGTTTTGTGCTTGTTTGTCAGTTCGCATCGTAATAAATATAATTTGATTATAATTTTTTGTTTTATCTCTTTGGTTCGTTTACAAAGAATTTGGACAAATTTGAGATTAAACCATTTTCTCGTCCGTTTTTTCTTTCTCGTTCAATCTGAGTATGTTGGTTGTTGTTGTTGTTGTTGTTGTTGTTGTGCGTTGACTAGCATATGATAGAGATTAGAGGCACATTTAATCCAGGGCAGCAGCACCAGAAATAATTTCAATCAATTCACGTGTGATGACAGCTTGTCGAGTACGATTGAATGTAAGTGTAAGTTTGTCAATCATTTCGCCGGCATTCTTTGAGGCGTTGTCCATGGCAGTCATACGCGATGACTGTTCGGAGCAGGCACTTTCTTTCATGGCATAGAATATGAGGGAGGCCAATGAATATTCAAGGTAATCTTTAAGTACACCCGAGTCCAATGAATCGAAAATGGCCAACTTTTCGGAGGATTCAACGGCTTTCAAACTGAAAATTGGCACCGTGCTACATGTGTACGACACGACACTTTTGAATTTGTTGTAAATGATTGTACCGTGCGTGAAATCGAAACCTGATTCCAAAATTTCATTGGCAATTTTTGCTGCATCGGTAAAACTTGGTGGTGTACGGCCGATTTCGTTGGCAACAAACACAATTTTATCGGCAAACAAGCGTTGCAAAACGGCACGGCTTTTGTCACCGACACAGGCAATCTTTGTGTTTTCGGTGCTCTCTGTGCGCGATTGAAGATCATTACGGATGGCACGGGCGACACCGGTATGAACAGCACCACATAGACCTAAAGAAAAAATATCGTAAACACACAGGCAAGGAGTGAATTTTTCTGTGAAAGATGTTGAAAAAAATATTGTTGTATAAAGTACCTCGATCGGATGTGATTGCAACCAAAAGTTCCTTTGCATTGTCTGTTGGTGGTTCGAATTCGGCGACTGAGTAGAATTTTGTGGCGCCCTCACCGTATGGGCGAGCCTGTTTTAATTCACGTTCGGCACGTGTGTACTTGGCAGCAGACACCATCTTCATTGATTTCGTGATCTTTTGGATATTTTTGACTGACTTGAGCCGCATGGAAATGGCTTTCAATGTGGCCATATTACGGTTTTGCTGAGCAAATGCCCCATTCGAGATGATGGCATTGACAGCGGGACTGGCGCGTTGCATCCACATGACTGACTAGATATTTATCACTCACACTGAAATGAGAGCGCACAAATCACGGGAATCAATTATGATCAAGATCACAACGAAACCAAAATGTCATATAACAATCTAAATACTCTTATCCAATCCATCGATGGATCGTGAGCAATTGCATTTTTAACTGAAATTCAAATCCAAATATTCAAATCGCAACCAATTTCCAGATGCAATCATGCGAAAAGTCAAACGCAAATTTCATTTCTTTTTCTCTCTCTCTCAAAGGATACACTTCGGAAAAAAGGCACATCTTATGTAAGAGTTGTGTGTGTTATACGCTTGTGATTCTATTTTGGTTTTAAATCACACAATTTGTGCTGTTATTACACCATCGATTGATATTACAATGAAATTTTTTCATTACACTCAATCGGAATCGGATGCGATTTAATTTGAGAATTTCGTAAATGTAATTTAATTCAATTGAAACAATAACAAACCTGCTTGAACTGAAGAAAAAAATCCTATCTTTCAGTTGTTGCTAAAAAGAACGGCCACAGAACGTCGAGCACAGTTAAAACGGCGCTGTGTGAGATACAAAAATAGCCGAAATGACACATGCTCTCGCTGATGTTCACATTGACAGATGAACTGTCAAACGATTGATTGCCTAACAGATCAAAATAATTTTGCCATAAAATAAAACACGAGAACGGACAAGAAAAAATGTAATCCAATTTTTTTTGTTATTAAAATATCCCTCATATTCTAATTGGACTTTGTACTTTATTTTTCCCATTTTTGCCCATTGAGGGACATTCTCCCTTTTTTTAACGACAGTAAGAGCGATATTTTGACAGAAGACCAACGTGCATTCTTACATATTAATTGTCATAACCTGTAACAACAGTATTCAAGAAGATTTGCTTTAAATAAAAGGTGACCGCTGAATCGATCAATTACACGAATCGATCAATTCACTTGATAATTTGGTGTTTGGGAAGTAAAAACATCGTTCAAAAATGATTCGACAAATTTGCTCCAGACGAAATGTATCGGTATGTAACAAAATAAACCTAATTCAACGAAATTTTGTGCTTCTGTTCAATTTTTTCTGGGGATTTTCATATGCGGAAATCTTCAGTCAAGTCTCTAGTGATAAAAGTACATTTAGTGTGAATAATGATGAAATAACATTTATTTTACAGTTGTTATCACGCCTTTGGTCGGGCAACCAATCCAGTTCAAAACAATCAGAACAACAATTGACAGATCGACTTCAGGAACGTTTTAAAGAGGTTTGTACATGATTCCAATACCGTGATTCCTTTTGTACTGAATTTGAAAATACAACAAAATGAAAATGAATATACAATTTTTAAAAAAAATGTTCGTTTTTCAGGCAAAGCACGTTAGCGTCGTGGACATTTCTGGTGGATGTGGTGCCATGTATGAAATCGTTGTAGAAACTAATGAATTCAAGGGTCTATCACGAGTGAAGCAGCATCAATTAATAACAGACACACTCAAAACCGAAATTAAAGACATGCACGGACTTCGGATACACACATCGATTCCAGACTCATAAATTGTTAGATTGTTTGTTTTAAGCCAACACTGCATCGATAATAGGACTAGTAAAATGAAAATAAATTATTAAATTCTGATATGTTAATTCATTGAAGACGATTAAATGGATTGTATACCGTATTTTAGTTCTTTTGCTTACACAAACAAAATGTTAATTTGTTGCAATAACAAAAAATGCGAAGAATTGTGTTGAAAATGTTGTTTATTCAAATTTGATTCCATTTGATGTGAAATCAAAATAAATTTGTTCAAAACTCGACACAAAAACGTATTCGACGCCCCGTGTATTTTGTGAAAATAATCGTTTCATTCGATCAATTTGTGTGTATATGAAATGAAAAATTCGCAAATATTGAAATTTATTATCAATGACAAGATAAGCCGTAGTTTTTTTTCGAGAAATTTGAAAATAAATGGAGATTTACTATAAATTTTACGAAAATAATGAGTTTCTGTTCATTCGCCTGAAGTTGTCCGAGAGTGGTGTGAATATTTGCATCGGGTCATGAAATTGAACAACAGAAAGAGAGAGAGAGAGAGAGAAGGAAAAAAAACATGGTGGCCAAAGCAAACGACAGACGGCGCTCGTGAGCAGCCTTCATTTTCTCTTATTTCATCTGTCGCCACTTTTCGCATTTTTGCTATTCAATCGTCATTCAATCGTTGCTAGCACGCAGTAAAGACGATTATTAATTCTAAGTAGGCCTTATGGAAAAAGAAAATAAGTTATTGTTGTTGATATTTTTTTTTTGTGTTTTGCTGAAGTGAGACCGAGAGACGGGGCGAGAGGCAAGAATACATAAAAAAAATAAGCGTGTGAATTGAATCAATATACGGACAGAGAAAAAAAGTTGTTCTTTTTTTAATTTGTTACATCGCAGAAAGAAAAGAAAAAAATAGAAAGCTGCCAAATTGAACGAGAGATTGAGGTGCAAAAAATTTCTGAACGGAATAATCCAGTTCAGATGTAGTTGTTGTCCACTTTCAGACTAAGGTGCGTATATTTTCATTTTCAGAGAATTTAGAAAATCATTTATAAATCATGCATTAGGACATTTGATATGCGTTTGATTAACATTTTCCATTTGTGTGCCGTGTTTTGTTCCGACGAAAAAGAAAAGGGAAAAGAAAGAGAAAGAGAAAAAATGTGCCTTGTGAAAAATCGAATGTACTGAAAATCACCAAGTTGACAGAGCAAAGATTAAGTCGTCGTCTTTTTTTGTTCAAGATGATTTGAAAATGATTTTGGGTTTTTCTTGCTCTGGCCACTGGTGTGTGTGTGTGTGTGTGTGTGTGTATGTGTGTATGTGTGTGTTAATACCCAAGCGTGTGTTTGTGAATGTGTGAGTGTGTACATGTTTTTGTGGCTGAACGTTATTCAACGTAGCTCTGTGGTGGCGACGACAACAACAAATTTGTGTGCAGAGAAAATCGCTCATATATTAAACATGGCGACATTCATTTGTACTCTCATCGATGAAACTAGTTCGCATTTGCTGCATGTATACCTATATTTGTTGCGGTGTGTGTATACATATATGTTTGTTTGTGTATGTGAGAGAGATCGTCGAATTCGTACACATTGGAAATATGTTTAACTTGAATAAGCTGTCCCCGCGCGAGTAACAATGCGTGTTAATTGCTGTCGAAAATTCCACATATGATTCGAGTGTTTTTGTTCGTCGCTGTTTTTTCTTCTTCGTGTGTCAAGATTCGTGATAATGCTATGAACGTACGCGTACATTTCAAAACATGATGTTTTTTTTACTTAAATTCTCTGATTATTAATCAGTTCGTTGCAAAAATTAACACATTTACCGCTTTTGTATTGCCTGAAACAACTCAGTTTCACTTGTACAAACAATAGAGAGAGAAAAAAACTGTATGTATTTGTCCTCCCATTAAGCATTATGGTGGCCGATTACAATAAAACAGTCATTCTAGTCTGCGTCAAGGCAACAATTTAATGTACAGTAAATTGGTGTTATCGATGTGTACGATAAATGTTTTTTTTCGTATTTCTTCTTTACTTCGGCTCATATTCTTTATGTGCCATATCAATATCACATGCAAGTGAAATAAAAACCGTTGGGTAAAGAGAAAAAAAACGTACACAGTACCAGTTGATATAATGCGTTTGTACCACTTATTTGAACGATTTCTAGCACAGCAACAACAGCGGTAATATCTAACAAAGGTGGTACTCATTCCCTCACTCTCTGCAACGTTGTCAATCGAAAAATAAAAATATCACAATAATACAGCAGAAAAAATCATTCTTCCAACAAACGACACATCAACGAGCACAGCAATGCATTAAACATGATATTTTGGCATATTTAGTAGCTGAACAATGTTTTATTAACAATACTGAACAAAAAGAATGAACAGAAAAAAAAATTATTCTCGAGCTATTATCACACGCTAGTGAACCTCGCTGATTACAAAACGTTTACGTCTGGTTTTGCAAAATAATCACAACATTCGCTTTAGTTGATCATTTGCAAACAAATTTCAATGAATGCCAAAAAAATACAACCAAATGTTCCATGGACAAAAAAAAATATGACCAACAGAAAACAAAACGAGCACACAAAAAAGCGGTTTTTCCATATTGCTGCATGAATTGTCTGCGCATTCTCATTTGTTACATTGAAAATATACAATATATTCGGCGAATTTCTTGATTCCCCTCTCCGTTTCATGCAAAATCATAGACACCGCAATCGAGCCCATTTCTTGTCATAATGGCATTTTGTCACTTTTACACTGATATTAACCACTTTTACGGCATTTAGATACCAATCTTCAGAGATACATTCTCACAAACGCACACGCACAGACACACACACACACACACACACACACACACACACACAGCGACGTTCGATTCTTGAGAGTAGTCAAATCAAATGAAATCAGCGTTTTGAGTAATGTAATCATTATTTTTCCTTCTTGTTCGCTTTTTCCATGGAATATATGATTAACTTAATTTCCAAACCACATCTACAATTTGTGATTTCATACGAAATACGCCACATCGCACACATTTCTTATTTTGAAACTCTTGAAGAAAACGAAAACCATTTTCTACGAATATGTGTAGCATTGTTCGTTTTGCACTACATTATCATGCCAATCGTATTCAAAGCACTTCAAATAGAATGTGAATCTACTGTAAATATACAGTCATCGAAATTTCATCTATCTGGAAATGGTTGAAAGAATGTAATGATTGCCGGCCTATGCTTAGCTCGAATTTTGGTCGTAACAATACTTTTGCTATCTTCTGGAATTAACCAAACTCAGTGATCCAATAAAGATTAATCTCGACTAGACATACGTTTTCATTAGACAATAGATAGGAAGCGGTAGAATCACATTTTCCCAACGAGAATGTATGACCTGTATGTACTTTGCATGTCAAGCGCATTTGTTGTTCGGTTTGATAGACATGAGCTTTTGACCTTTGGATTAAGGCGGCAATAAAACTTTGACCATATCTTGTTCTGTTGCAAATTTCCAAAGAATTCTAGTGAAATAAGTCGTGCAAACACTAATAATACCGTTTTGTTTTGTGTATATTTTTTTTCTTTTCTGTCTGTAAAGGTGGTGAACACAACAAATAGTCAACCGTATGCATAAGGCTCGAATCCCGGCTAAGCTGATAATAGAGGGCTGAAGCAAAACGAAAACGGCAACAGGTTCATAAGGACACACATCACACGATTCCTGCCTGATTCAGTCAATCGTTGATCTGCAAGTGTAGAACAGCATTGTTGTTGCAGCGTGCTGAAGTAAAATTACACATACACATCACACACGGAGAGACAGAGGAAATTCGTTTAAATTTTTTAGTGTAAAAAAAAAGTGATATTAGAAACGTCGTTGTCACCACTGCTGCCGAAATGGAAGTTGTCGACCGAAATGATCGTGAAATAGCTGATTCCTATTTATCAAGTTTGGTTGATCTAACAAATAATAGCAAACCATTGATAAATATGTTAACGATGTTAGCCGAGGAGAATATCGAACATGGTCAAACGATAGTCGACGCCGTCGAGCAACGTATAGCTAAGGTTTTGATTTGTTCTTTTTAATAAACAGTAAATCACACACATCAGAGTATAGCAACAACCAGGAAAAAAACAAAAGAGACATGAAAAAGCCCTAAATTTTAGACTGAAATCACATCAAATTAATTTGCATTGATTTGAGATTTAACTGTAAGAACAGAAGATATACACCAAAGTTTTAGTGTAATGTAGAATTTTGAACGAAATGAAAACGGTGATTTGTTGGAATTTAGGTGCTACGGCATCACGATATTCTATGAGATGCCACAATATTCCTTTCGTTCAACCCAACTGATTGATGACTTTTCCCTTATCGTTGGTTTAGTTTTAGATAGTTTTTTTTTTAAATCGTTATTAACAGAGCGAACACGCCAACCAGGGCGACGTTTTGTCTGTACGATGACTGATCCATTTTATGGCATATTTAGAATTTGTTTTTAATGACGTTGCAAGGCGTCTCAATGCGTCATTGCTTTGCATTAAAGATTGTCATCAATATGTACATATTTCAACATAGCCTGTTCCAAGTCTGATCTGGTGGCGTTCGTATTCGTTTATTTTCACCCCAATTTTCAAACATTTTTTTAAATTTCCCAAGGAAACACCTTTCATCAATCCCAAAGCCCACCTTCAGATTATCCATCCATCCCCCATCCTCCATCATTTGTTACGCTTTTTTTCAATCTGTCTCTCCTAATTGTTCTTCTAGCTTAAAACTGAAAGACTGTGATTAAACGGAACTCTTTTTTTTACCATAAAAATACAACAATTTATTTTAGTAAATTTACAAATAACCATGTGATATTAACTAGAAACGAAAAAAAAAACAAAAAAATAAACAAATTTTTATTTAACAGTGTAACTAGAGAAACGGCTGTAAGCCAAACATGAAACAAAAATATATTTACAAGCCATTAACTATTGCTAATTATTTACAAAAAAAAGATTTAAAAAAAAAAAAATCAAAAATCAAATCAAAGAAACAAGCAAAAAAGGAATTACAAGAAATAAAGCATTTGCACTGAAATAACTTTCTGTTGTGATGATATCAATTGATTTCTTGGAAATGCGTTTAATCTGAATCCGTTACAGATTCCCTTATCACTTTTTTTTATTCTGGATGAAATACAACATGCGGTCGTTTTGTTTTTTCGTTCGCCTTATTTATTTTTGCAAGAGAGAAAGAGAGAGAGAGTGAAAAAAATACAATCAAGAAGAAGATGAAAAAGAGAAAATATTCCAAAATATCATACGTAAAATGCTAGATTTAGTCGAATTTCTCCGTAATTTCGTTAAATCGTTTTGTTTTTTTTTTGTCCGAATTGGCGTTTCACGGTTTAAGTAATGTTCAGTGATACATAGATAAATGAATGAAAGGAAAAAGTGCGCAGATTGAATGGGATTTGGGCTTCAGATTGCGGAGGAGGTTTTAACGTGGCTAGCCAGCCTGCATCGATGCGATTCGACACACTTGGCACGAGTAAAAATCAACTATGATGTATGCCGCATCAACCTACGTCGTAGGTCCTATGATTTGTGTCATGATGTCACTATGATTTGGTATCATCAGCGTTTATGATCCTCGGCATTGAGTGTTTGAACATCAACAACCCATCCACACCGTTCCGATTATATACCGTGAACTGCGATTAATTTTTTCCAACGTTTCGCGTGCACACAAAACAAATGATTGTCGTTTTCGCCGGGGGCATAGTTACGGACAATCCTTTGGAAATTCGACACCAACGCATTCACATCTTTTTTTCCTTTTTAGCTTTTTTCCTCTGGTTTACATTTGGCTTAGCACTGAGATCAATCATCGAGATTCTGGGCACTTTGTCCAAAATCTCCGATGCATTGATCGAGTTTTCCTTCTCACTCACATTGGACCACGAGTGAAATTCGCAGTGATATTTCTTTTCTCGTATCGTAATCAAAACAAATCATTGGTTTCTTTCTTTCTATTTCCAAAAAAAATCGTTTGGGCGATGCTTTTTTCCCATCGTTCTCGTTACTATTTTCTATTGATCGAAAGCAAAAACACATTTGTTTGGAGTTTATTCAAAGTGTTTCGCACACTTTGTTTGTTTTGTTGGATAAAGTAGCATGGATCGTCATATCACAATTTGTTTTGTACTTATAAATAAACTGGACAACCACAACAACAACAACAACAAAATATTATCAGTGAAAACTTAAACAACAAAAGTAGTTTTCTCCTATAAAACCAAACATATAATATTTATTCTTTACAGTTTTTTTTATTGTCGTTACGTTGGAATATCTTTCGAAATAGCTAAGATGACAAAAACGAGGGAAACAAATGACTGTTCTTTTATTTTAGATTTTAATTCCTATTAATACTATAAGATATGACTGAAAAATGAAAACAAAACATGATTTAGACATATTTTTAAGTACAAAAAAAAATGATAATAATTTCATGCATTTAATTGTTGAATTAAATGGCAATGATGATATTTATAGAAAAAAAGACAACTCCTAGTGATCTTAAATATGAATAATAATGGCAGAAAATTGTTTTGCATTTGTTATTTCAAAATTTCCTTTTGAAGCAAATATTTTCTTTCTTTTCGTTCTTTGATTTGTCATTAAAATCAACACCGCAAGCAAAAAAAAACGATAATATTCGACACATAGTTATAATTTGAATTTCTCTACAAATTTATTAGTTGCAAATTAATTTAGTTTATTTTTTTTTTAAATCTTGTGTTATCTACAAACTGTTAAATTTACAATTATATTCAAATTTATTTAGGTGGAGCCTGATTTGAAACTACCAATTTTGTATTTGATTGATTCGATTGTTAAAAATGTTGGTGGCGTGTACATTAAATACTTTAGTCAAACAATTGTGAAAATATTTATTGGAGCATTCGAAAAGGTAATTGCCGTTTATCATTTTTTGTTTTTCGAAAATTGTCCATGTAAGAGTTCGGTTAAAATAGCAATAAGAACATGTGAATTTGTTCGTACACCCAAAGAATAATCATGATTTCTTTGAGTGTTCGCTAGTTTTTTTTTTCAACCAATGTACTATGTATGATTATCAATTTTTTGTTTCTTTTTTTTTGTTAATTGATTTTATATTATTTCATTTTTTTTCTTCATTCCATTCGAATGGAAATCTAGGTGAATGAAGATATCCGTAAAAAAATGTTTGCATTGCGACAAACATGGAATGACGTATTTCCACCAGCAAAACTCTACACACTTGATGTTAAGGTCAATGCAATTGATCACAATTGGCCGATCACGGCGCAGAAAATAGCGCCAGCCATTCACGTCAATCCGAATTTCTTTTCGACAACGGTACGTCACGTTTATGCATTTCCTTTCCATGCATTCAGTCAGATCTTAAGTTTTTTTTTCACAGTTAAGTATTTTGTTTTTCATTTTGGTACCAATTTTTCTATTTTCTAGACGGAAAAAGACATTCAAACGGAACTACAAATAAAGCAACGTGAATTGCTGGAGCTAAAAAAGCGAAAATTAGAATTGGAATTGGCAGCAACTCAGAAACAATTGGCTACAACAACTGTTATGCCACCAACACATCCAGCGGCAGTTGATCCATCCATAATTGTAAATACAAAGGATTTAGCGAAACAACCTGTTGTTTTGCCAGTCGTTACAAAACCGACCAAAATCATTGCTCAACCGGCATTTATTCCAAATCAAATGCCTACATCAAATGTACGACCGAGAATAGCACCGGTAAATTCAGCGCTTGTGAGCAGTATGCGTATACGTGATCCACGTTTAGCACGACAACCGCCCCAAATGGTTGCACCAGCTCAAAATTTGCCTTCAATACCATCGATCAATGATCATTTTCCGTCAAAATTACCACCAAGTAAGTAGATGATTTTAGCCGTGGTCAACATCATGTGCGTGTTTTTTTTTCGGAGATTAAATGGATTTTCATTTGAAACATTCTTTCAGTGGGACCCATTCCTCGCATAAGCAACTCGAATTTTGCTCCAAACGCCGATCGAAATCAGCGTATGCAGCCAATCGACTCGATGCCTTACAATGACACAACGAATAAAGCTCATGTCAACAATAGCAACAATTCAAATGATGTTGAGAATAAGAATAAGCATAAGAACGCACGGTCACCAAACAAATCATCATCTTCAAAATCGAGTGGCAAATGCGGCAGCAGTAACAGTAGCTCAAAGTCAAAATCGACGTCATCATCATCGTCGTCGTCGAAAAATTCCAGTTCGAAGAGTGAACGCAATTCACGGTCCTCATCAAGCGGCTCATCGTCCAAGAAATCCAAAGGCCGAAAGGATGATAAGTCACCGCGTAAGTATTATCATTTTTTTCTCTGTTAATTGCTTCATACACAGAAATGCATTGAATGCCTTCCATTTCTGTTGACCAATCCACACAGAGTACTGGCCAATTTCAATCTCACAATGAATGAATCTGGTCCATCGGACCAGACTTTAAATTGACACAATCATATTATACCGATTTAACGCTAATTTTTTTTTCTCTCTCAACATAATAATAAATACATATGTATCTCTTTCCCAAATCGCATTACATTTGATCGTCTCCAGTACGAAAAAAATCGTCATCGAGACATCGCAGTCCTACATCTAGTAGACGTAGTTCGTCACCAGCCGACGCGCAAAAAACGTCGTCGTCGTCGTCGTCGTCTTCACGCAAAACTTCTTCCTCCTCTTCTTACGATAGCAAATCGAAATCTTCTGATAGCAAGCACAGCAAAGAGAAGAACAGTGATAGTCATTCTAGTATTAGTAGTAAATCTTCGCCAAATCATAGAAATCGCAATAGGAGCAGTCGGTCCAAGTCACCGACGATGATCTCATCGGTGACCAAATCGACCACTGACTCAATCACGAAAGATATTGACCTTCGCGCCCATTTACCACAGCCGATTAGCCTTACTAACTCCCTAATTAGTTCGACGATCATCGATCAAACGTCGAATGTAACCACTTCGGTTGCCATCATTGCTTCGAACGCCATCGCGGATCGAAAATTTATTAATTTGGACAAACGTAAGAACATCTAGCGTTAAGCATGATTTTATTTTTCATTTAGTTAGGCTTAGATTGGAAATCGTAGACTGACAATTGCACCCATTCCATTCCATTCAATTGGATTTTAAGAAAATACACACAATGCACACAACCCAACCCATTAAATTCTTTTCCAAAACCAATCCCACAGCCACACAGCATATCAACTTTGTAGATCCGTAACAAATAAACAATTGAATCGAACGCAACAAAGTTGATTTTTCCCTTTTCGACACACTCATCACATGGCTAAAAAGCACGTGTGAATGTCATTGCCGTTCAGTTCATAGCACATTTTCAAATTGAAACATTTTTCCTTGCAGAAATCGGCGAAGATGCGCCAAAAGATATTGATTTTCGTGTTGGACTCATGACAAACATGTCAGCTAATCAAGCAGTCACGGTCAGCGATACCAAAAAACGTCTTAGCGAAGAAACAGATTTAAATGAGCCAAAAAACAAAAAAACCAAATCGGAAAAAATCGATATGTAAGTTTCGTCAATCGTTTTCTGCAATAGTTTTACTAGAAAATTCAACTATATGTTAACTGTGGAACGTTTTCTATTTAAACATAATTTGTTTTTTTACCTTGCAGATTGTTTGGCACGGAGGATGTCGACCTACGAATTCCACCGCCGTCATTAAATACGATCGCCGCACCAGCGGTAATTTCAGCATCTGTTGTGCCAGATGTTGAAACTAAGCCACAGTTAGAGGCATCCGAAACAAATGCATCACATACAAAATTGAGCGATCAGCTATCTAATTCTAAGAAAATTAATCGTGATATTGATTTACGGCATCGGCCAGATGTAAACGATGAGAATTCCCAAGAATCCAATGATAAGTTCAAAATGATTTTAATGCAAGCTCAAGAACAAGTAGAGAATAATCCGGATGTTGATCCGGAGAAAATCCAAAGTATGGTTCAACAAATCATCAAGATCAAATGTGATTCAGAGGCAAGAAAGACGTTCAAACGTGGCCAGGCTGGCAAATCAAATAAGGCTAATGAAAATGAAGACGGGACTGAGGCCTTCAGTTCGGGTAGCGATGATGAGACGTTAAAACAATCTCATCGTGTACCGTTCAAGCGACGCCGTCAAGAGAACGATCGAGGTCAAATGAACTCAAATGCACCAGTTGCGGCAAATAATTCGACAAAGTCTCCTAATCATGATGCTCCAAATGCACCACAAAAAGAACGTCGACCACGTAAAACCAAGTGGAATTCACCGTGGGAAGAACAAGTGAAGCCACCAATTTTGCCGATGCAAACGCTACCATCGAACATCATTCCGGCCATGCCATTTGCACCGTTACGATCCAATCAACCACCAATGAACATCACACCCGATGCTGAAAATATGCGCAATGTGCGCCAATTTTCGTCACGTAATGTACCTGAATCCGTTTGGCAACCGAATGCAATGCCGTTCAATGGACCACCCGTGGTCAATCAATTGGGACTACTCAATAACGCCGGTGTTCCAGCTAATTTATTGGCTGGCGTTGGTGTTAGTGTTGGTGGTCAAATTGTGATGGCTCAACATGGACCAAGTTTGGCACCGTGCACGGCCAAAGATCGCACGATCAACATCGATGGTGTTCCAAGAGAAATTCGATTCTATGACGAAACTGCAATAGCATTTATGGAAAGTATGGGTAGAGAACCAAAGGAAATTGGTTTTCAATCGGGCGAACGTCGTGTTTGTGTCGATAATAATGAATCGATAGTGTTAGCTTTCAATGATACGTATAAACCGTTTGTGATAAACGGTCAATCCTACCAAATCCGCTTCGGCACACCAACCCGTGAACTCTACATTGACAATGAGTGGTATGAGTGCTATTTTGGTGATCCGGCCGTTGGCATTGTGCTGAATGGTAAGCTTCATTCGTTCCGCATCGATGGACCCGCACCACAAGTACGCATCGGCAATGTGCGTAATGATTTAGTGGTTGGTAAAATCGATATGTATGTGGATATGACGATAAAGGTGCCACTATTTTTGGACGCTCAAGTGCAAATGTTCCAAGTCAACAATCAAGTACACACAATTCAATTTGCTGACTACTTTTTAACCGTAATCATTGACAACATACCGTTCCAAGTACAATATGGAGCGATGCCGGCCAAATTCCAATTGGCCAATTCGGAACATTATATTCGCTTCTCGGTGCTGCCAAATAGCATCGTTCCCGGTGAGATCTACGTCCGTAATATGAAGCGTACACATTTGCAGCGGGATTTGGTGTCACCAGTACCCACAACAATCGGTAATTTAATACCTGTTTCAATTCCACCCGTAACTGGGCCTATTTTACCACTCATGTCAATTGTTCCGAATCCAGATATTATCACATCGAACTCATCGAGTGCAACCTCACTTCTAACTGCCACTGCTGGTAGCGGCGGCATCGCTGGTATTGCCGGCACAAGTAGTCAATCAAACGTACCTGTGATATCCGAATCAAGTAATCCGGCAGTGGACATAAATGATCTCTATCAGAAATTGTTGGCGTCTGGCATTTTGAATAAGGTTAAGGAAAAGGAAAAAGAGAAGGAGAAGGAAAGAGAGAAACCGTCACCCATATTGCTCAACAAACCGGAGACACTGAAGAAACGCCAACCAGTGATAATAAGTGCGCTATTTTCTGGGTCACAGTGCAGCTGTTGCGGTGTTCGCTTTCCATTGGAACAAACAATCAAATACAGTCAACATTTGGACTGGCACTATCGACAAAATCGCCGCGAAAGGGACTCAGCGCGTCGGGCACAGTCACGCAAATGGTATTACTCGGTGGCCGACTGGATTCAATACGAAGAAATCGAAAATTTGGATGAGCGAGAAAAGAACTGGTTTGAAACGCAACAGACCGAAATGGACTCAGCGAATGAGGAATCGAATCAACGTTCCGCGTCACCGCCTCCAAGTTGCGTAGCTGCAGCTGACGATCATAACAAAACCTGTGACATGTGCCATGATCCATTCGAAACATTCTACAATGAAGAAACAGAAGAGTGGCATCTGCGCAACGCCATACGCGTCGAAGAAAATATCTATCACCCAATTTGTTATGAAGATCATAAGGTAAATTTAATTCGAAATTTAATTTGCTTCACATTTTTGTTTAAATTTAGAAGATTTAAAATTTCATGAAAAGACATTTTTATCTTAAATTTGCTAAACTTTTTCTTTCTTCCGCAGCTATCACTTACGCTAGATGAATCGAATTTAAATGCATCAAGTCTCGGAGATATTTCTACGGACGACAACGCAGTTGATCTACCGATTAAACATGAAGAGGACCAAACTGTGACAGGATTCTCGACGAATGCCAACGAACGCATTCCAATTCTGGATGATGATGATGATGTCATCGTTTTGCCACAAGAGGAACCAGTCATCACTGAAATCCCGGATGATGATGATCATGAACCTAAGCAAACACATGCCACGAATAATGGCACGAATAGTCAGGCAGAAACAGGGATAACAACTTCAAAATTCTCATCACAGAACACAGGCACTTTTACGCAACCAGACAGCCAAAAGAAAGATGAAACGAATATAGGAGAAGGTTTGTTTTTGAAAAAAAAAATTGAATTTCTTGTATATTTTCATGTGGTGTCTCTGTATTACGTCACTTATTTCATTTCTCTTTTTAACCAATTCCATGCCAACAGATAATGACGAAGCGGGAAATCACAACGAATCTGATGTGCAAATCTTGGAGCCACAAATTTCAATTTTGAACTTGGATGAATACGAAGAAACCAATGTGTCATCAAACACGTTAGACGAATCGCTAGTTCAAGTGGTGAAAATCAAAGAAGAACCAAAGTATGAAGGCTATGAAGATGATGAAGACGATGGCTTCGAAGAAGTTGGTACATTCGCAGCTGACGCAGCCGAAATATTTAAGGAAGCAAGCGGTATGGATTCTTCATGCTTTTTATTTTCAAAATAAATCTAACCAAACCAATTTCTTTTAAATTTCTCCCATTTAACTTTGTTAATTGAAAGAAAACATATTTTTTTTGTGGATAATGCATTATTCACATTTTATATGCTTATGAAAACGTGTAGCCATTATGTATCGTATTTGAAAATTTTCTCCAAATATCTCAAAGCAAAAAATCAGTATTTAATTTCGTTTTGACAAAAACAATATTGCAAACTATATTTCAGTTGAAGACAGTGCACCATTGCCACCGATTCAAACGCAGTCCGCACCGATCGCCACACTCGATGGTAATATCGAACTACAAGAGGCGCAACCCATCACAGTCGGTACAAATAAGATAAAAATAAATATTTCCAAAAATGTACAGTTGAATAAAAATTCAATAAACTCTACCGAAAGTGTTGATAATAATTTAGCAATAAATAATAAAGAATCGGCGGATGGCCAAACGCAGGGCATCGCCACCAATAAAAGTGTTGTTGCAAATGATACAGATCGAAATGGTTCAATTGATGCAAATGAAATATCGACGGCCAACAGTGCTGGTGGCAGTGCTGCGACGGCTGCTGCTGCTATATCCGGTGACTCAGCGACCAGCGACATTGAATACGAGGTCAAAGATTCGATAAAGCATGTGCAGTTCAAGCGGCAACCAGTTGTTCAAAGTGGACTAGAAACGTCTGGTTTGTGTTCTATTATGTAAATGATGATCAATCACGATTCACGGTTTTTTTTCGGACGGCCGCAATCCATTTACATACGCGCACAAAACAAACACAACTCATGTCTTAATTTGTAAGGTATTTAAACCATTTTTTTTATTGAAATGAACAGCCAATTTCATTACAATCAACAACAACATTTCAAAATAAAGAAAAATTTACACAAAATAAAATTAATCTCTTTTAATTAGTCTTTTTTTTTCAAAAAACACTAAAAAGTATGATAATAATAATAAAAAATTTTTTTTCTTAAATATTCAAGCATCAGATGATAAAATTAAAGTATAGAAATTTGTGCTAAAGAACACACCATCGATCGATCCGGCTTTATTTTTCTAATTCAAATGGATACGAATCATATCTTCTCTGATGTAACGTAAATGAATCCAACTACATTTGTTTTCGATTAATTAAATATTTTATAAAAGAAAATCATTTTAGTTTTGATAGTATTTTGATTTCATTTTTTCGTTGCGTAAAAAAAATGTATAAAATTTTCATAGAATAGGTTCAACATGTGAATTAATAAAAGCACATCAATGAATAATCTTAAAATCAATTGTTTTTATTTTACGTATAAAATTCATTTGGGAATGATTCTAGTTAAGACCCCTTTCATATATAAAACTGAATGATGAAAATGTTTCGTCTCAGCTGATCTATCTATGCACTCCTTGATTTCGATGTGCAATTCAAGCAGAAACTGTTTTGTATGATGCAATCGATTGACATATTCGGATCGAATTTAATTGAAATACGGTCCACATCGTCTCCGGATATATCCTGAACAAGAAAAAAATAAATACAAATCGTAGATTTTCCTCAATGACGAAATGCCAATGGATTTATACAAGATAATAAATAATAGTAAGACGATCATTGTTGTCTGCCACTTACATTCAAAACGGATTCCGTGATTTTGGTTCTGCCACCCACTATAATATCCAACTTTGGACGGTAACTCTGATGATGCAGCAGGTATTGAATATCATGGACTGTACGATTTGTGACTTGGAAGCACCACGAGCAATCGAGTTGTGTGAGCTGCGGAGACATGCGCACCAACGACATTACACCATCATCAGTTAGTACTATATTATCGAAGCAGCACACAGTTTTAAGTGATTGCATTAAATTTAGCGTGGCCAAATGTTGGTCTGTAACCCAAAAATTTTTGCGCAGTTTCAGTGTGTGCAATTTTTGAAATTGTGACACGACCCGATACGAAGTCAATCCCAAATTGCAGTGGTAAAGATCTAGTTCTTCGATTTTATTGATATCGCTGAGTTTTCGTAATAATCTGTCTACGATGCGATCATTGTAGACCGAGTAATCAAGAAGTTGAAGTGAACGTAGTCTTGGTAAACGGGCGATAAACTGAATGTGTGATGTTGTTTTCACATCTATACTGATCGTTTCGACGCATTGCATATACTGTACGAGTCCATCGAAGAAACTTTCATCAGCATCGCTGTTCATGAAATCTTTCAGTGCGAATAGCGACAATTCGATGAGTTTGTTATTTTGCATGAGAAACTTCTGAAAACTATTCGGCCTGAATCCTTTGCAGCGATGCAGTTTCAGACACGTCAAGTTCGTTAAATTCGACATGCCACTCGATTTTTGCAATGCCAATTGCATCGAAGACAATGGTTGCGCTATCCATGGTTTGATCACAAATCGACGATTCAACAAATCATTTATTTCGGTATATTCACATTCATCCAATCGCAATGATTCCAAACGTTTCAACAATGTCGAAAATCGACTAAAGTTCAGATGTGGCCATTTTTTAATTGCTAAATGTTTAACATTCAAACAGTGCTCCTGCACGCATTCCAAAAACTCAATAATCTCCGCAGAATTTCGGTTACGTTCACTGATCGAAATCGATAAAGTCCTGATTTGCATTCCGACCATTTGAAGGAAATGCTTTAGATTCGGTGCAGCTACATTTGTAACGGTGTACGCAAAATTGCATTTAAACAGTGAGAAAACGCTTTCAAATCTCGGTGACGCACATGCAATATTATACAGATCGTAAATGTCAAGCATTTTAAAAATATGAGCTAAACAATCATCGTTGATCTCGTCCAGCTTGGTGCCTGGTATAGCACTTATTGATGCGCACATCTCTGAAACAAAAACAAGACCAAAAATAAGCCAAATGTTAGCTTTGATCGTAGCGCTCGTTTGAGTTCGGGTCGCGAATTTTGCATCGCATTTACTTACTCGCCGATCGTTTGAACATTTTTCTGGGCGATAGGAATCGGTATGAATTATCATCCATGGCGGTGTTATTCGTCGGTGTAACTCAAGTCGACTCACAAATATTATTATTATCTATGGAAATCGCAATGCAATGATTCAGCAAATCAAAATTTGATCATCATCAGCAGCAGCAGCAGCAGCAGCAGTAGCAACAGCAACAGCAGCCATCAAACACTCTCACTGCAAGGATATTCAATTTCGAAATTTAAACTCAATTTCCTTCAAATGCATTAACTAGATTAAACTAATGCGCCAATTCTCACTATTAATACACTTTTCGAACTGTTTACAAAGTAATTGTGTTCTTCATGGGTAAACATGCAATCGAGTGAGAGAAAATCTGGACGCAAAAATTGTTTACTAGACAACACAATACGTTTATCATTTCCAGTCAATAATAAACATTATTATCACTTTTTTGTATATTATCAATGTTCTCTCTTAGACCCATCCACTCTCGTCCCAGACTACTCGACTCAAGAAGAGTAAAATGAAAAAAAAACACGATAAAACACGTTAGATGATCGTGATAACAATCACAAAGTTCGATTTGAACCATCCAATATCAGCACAGAATAATTTTGATCAATCTGATCGTCTGACTATATAAAGTCACAACTATCATCACTCAACTAAATGACTATCTGAAATGGTTTGTAATTTTTGTCGAAATTTTCGTTTTGCATTTCGTAGCCACCTAAATTTCAATTCGAACACAATAAAAATATTCAAAAATTCAGAGAAGCCGTTTCATGAATACATACAAAGCAAACGAACGAGAAAGCAACGAACACGAATTGTGATGAGAGACAACGACTCTATTAAAATATTCGAACCCAACAAACACTCTCGCACACGGCAAAGCATAGCCATAGCAATGGTATGAATGAAAGTGTCAACCGATTCAACGGCTTTGGTGTGCAGAAATTACGAGATAAACACGATGGTTTTCGAACGATGTGTACTTGTGCAATTTACAAAATGCTAATTGGGCTATTTATTGCTCCATTTTTTTTTGTTCAGTTTCCCAATAAAGATAGTTCTCTAGTCATTCAATTATCATTTTCGTTTATTTGTCTGGGTTTGCCATCGGTGTGAATTCCCGTTTTTTTCACACAAAATGTAGTTCTTTTAGAATAATTCTACAACGTATTCACCTTTAACAATAATAATAATAATAATAATATAGCAGCAAATCGACTCTACTGATGATCAATATCTACATTTGGGTTCTTTCATGTTGTCGAAAACTTACAGCGAGACTTTATTTCCACCTCATTCATTCATTCATTCATTCATTCATTTAAATGACGCCGTTCGTTTTTTGGCACAATCAGCCGTTGCACTATGAAATAAATCGACACGTATTTAACAAAACAAACGCAGGCAAACAAACTAAAACTGCGCAAATTATGCCGTTTTCGGTGTGTCGTTGTAATAAAACCGCCTTTGTGCGCATCAATAATTACGTTTCGGTCCCAAAAGCAAATTGTCGAAACAGAAAAAAAAGTGAACACCAAACAAACACACTCAAGTGGTAAAGGTGTATCCGGCGGAGTGGTGATGACAATAAACTTGAACCAGTCTGTGACTTTGGCTTAGGCGAAGACGCATTACCAAAACGACTAATTTCGTAACTCTTAATTTCGAATAATTTCGTCGACCCAACAAAACATAATAAAATGTCAGCCTATTTCGGAAATGTTCGCACCGCAAAACAAAAGCAAAACTTACACAGATCAACAGAAAAAAAGACTTTATCTAGACAAATTACAACAACTGAAGATATTTAGTACACACACTTTGGCCTATCGAATGGTAATGGTGCGGGCAGAAATTATTTTGCATTGCCAAAGCATCGAAATCAATGTGTCGAAATCTTTAGACCCAAAAAAATACACTAACTATCTTATCGAATATGAATACATCAACTGGAATACCAAAATAAAAGGAAACAAAAATTCATGACCTCATATCGAGATCGAGTCATACACATTCAAACACACACACACAAACAGATGAAAGAATAAACATGCAAAACGAACAATGAATAGCGTTGAAACCACAACCAGTAACTCAGCGCGCTGTGAAGAATGATACGGAACGAAAAAAAATATTTTACAATGTGAAGGTCGTTGTTTTACCAGAAAAAAAAACTACACATGTGGTTTGAGCCATTGAATTCGCATTGTGTTTTGCTTTGCTTCATTTTGCCACTACGCGTACATATAAAATAGCGTCAAAAAATTTAATGGTGTGTAAGCCTCGAACAAAACTACTAAAATCATTTGCCACGCACACTCTATATCATCAACGTATTTTTTTTCTTCTAAAATTTAGGTTTCATCTAGTTTTGTGGCAGATTTTTTTGGTAAATTTATCTGTATTTTATTAGCTAAATTATTGAACAGACCTCACTAGAGAATACTGGAAACGGTTTTCTTATCATAAATTTAAATTTATTGAACTGATATATTGGCCGTTAAATAGAAGTTAAGAAATAAATTTCGATGTTTTATTATTAAACTCAATTGAGGTAAAATTGATATTGATTCTCGATGAAGATGCAAAAGTAGGCAACAGCAAAATTAAACTGAACCCGATGAAATTTATGTGCTATAAACAACCAGCCAACACAGACTGACTGATAATAACTACCAAATACAATAACAATGAAACAAAACAGCGATAAGCACCCCATAGAAAGACGAAAAACGAACCAAATTACAGCTGATAAACACAAATGAAACAAATGACTCATGGACGCTTATCATTGCTCCTAGGGGCCTAACGCCAATTTCCATATTTAAAATATGAACAAATAATATGAATTTGTTTATGTTTCAACATGTTAAACATATATGTATGCATAATTTCAATTTTGCTCAATTTTGTTCAATAAACCTACTGTCAGCAGAACCACGTCTGATCTGTTGACGTCATTATCGCTCCAAAAATTCTGGAAGTGGGTTTTGGTGGATCCTCAGGATTGTTCAAAACCGATCGTGGTTCTGGAAGTGGATCCTCAGGATGGACCAGGGCATTGTCAAACCCAGTCTGATCCATCCTGAAGATCCACCAAAACCCACTTCCAGAATATATTGTTCAAGGTGAATATGAACAATAACAACGCATTCGGGCAATAATACAAAATATTTGAATAGCGTGAATTTTACATGATTAGATACAAATATATTTTGCTAAATAAAATTTGGCGTGAAGCCCCTAGCATTGCTCACAATCTAAAATACACCCATTTTATTAGTTTTTCTTTCTTCAACAAACGGTTTCACTGATCATGAACCCAGTGGCACAGATCATAAACACAGCTTTTTTTCCAAAAATGAACCAACAATTTTCATGCGGTATTATTTGTACTTTGGAAAGTAGTGTAATGACAGCAATTTTTCGTTTTATCAGTAGCCCTATTTAGACGAAAGAAGAGTAAACTCGCGCTGATAATCGACAAAAATGAAACTTAAATTTGTTCTAAATCTCTATCTGTACGCATAGGGATAATTGTTGAAATTTGATGTTCAAAATGAACAAAACGATTTTTAGAAATTGAATTTGAATAATTGGCTATAACCTATAAATAGATTATCAGAATGCCCATTAAATATTAGTGCAGTTTGAAAATTAAAAAAATATTGAATTTCCATTCCCCATGTTGCAAATCTTTATTCAATCGTATGGTTTTTGTTGTGCTTTACAAAAGTAAAATTCGTTGCAATTGCAGCAATGTGATTATCAGTTTATTTGAATTGGATATTTTACCATCCGATTGGAATGTCAAAATCATCAACCAAAGAGTTTAGCCAGGATATTAGGGGTTTAAAGTAAAGAAGCAGAGCATCAGCTTTCACTTCTCGGCTTCCAGTCAGCATATGTAGAACATCTGTCCAATGTCTGGATGTACCCAACTGAAGTGCTTTCCTGTTCCATAAAAAAGTCATAACACGATTCAATCGATCTAATCGATAATAAAAAAGAAGCAAAAAGAACCGAAAAGCATAAAAATCCAAAGTGTTTTACTTGAGTAATTTTCCAGCCCGTTTGGACCCATAAATATCACATCGATGCAATGGCATGGGCAGAGGTTTGTCTGTTTTTACTGTATCGTATACGGTTACTTTGCAAAGACCTTCAAAAATTTGTGCTTGTATGAAACTCGCCAGAAAATACCTTAATGAAACGGAAGGAAAAAAATCTTCTTTTCAAAATTGTCCATTAAAAATAGACTTTGTACATGATTGATTGTTGCACCCAAATACCGAAACTATGTAAACGATAATGGATTTATTTTTTACCGTGTGAACGGAGTGTTATCTGATGTATGAAATTTGGCCCCAAGATCAAAGTAACCACGTCGATCTTTCCAGTCGGGCGGATGGATGCCTTGCTCTTGAAGTGCCAAATTCCAATAGAGTGCATTTGCGTCGCTCATCGAAACGGTTCCATTGAAAAGACTCCAGCGAAAAGCGTCCATCAGATATTGAAATGGAATTGCGGGAATCTTTGTCAAGGCCATATGCAGCAACAATGCCAAATCAAAGTCATTTATTTCACGCGTCAATTTCGACGCATACTCATCGTCTGTGTCAGATTCAATTTGATTTAGAAATGACAATTTTGGATATGGTTTCCCATCAACTTTGATATAATCGTCATCAAAATCAATCGCAGTCACATCAAGAGCCACGTCGTTCTCATTCTTCGGACGTTGTTTCCGTGCATGTATGGCTCTTCTGATCGATTGCGTGAATACCGATGGTTTGTTAGACACTAGGTATTTGTCGGGCAACAAATTCAATCGATTCAAATGGTGTGGCGTCATTATGCCAAGAAATATTGCATCTCCAATGCTCTCTTGTATGGCTGCATTGCCATCCTGTTGAGAAAATAATTTGCACATTTAACGGTTTATTTCCATTGAATGCTTACTGAGCGTGTCACCGAACTTGGAAAATGGTCGGTTGATCTTTGTACGCCATAAAATACTGCAGATGTCCCATTTCGTGAACAATCACACCAAAGTCACGAATGGTTTGCTCAGCACACACAATCATTCTGTTATTCAAAATGATAAAGGACACAAAAACGTTATGCTTTCAAAATTCAAATGTTCCACATCTTTTGTGCAGCTTATATTTTACCTGTAATCATTCGGGACAAACATATTTGCTGCCGTTCCGTGACAATTACGAAATCGTTCGCTTTTCTCGAAGATGGATTTTTGCCAGAATTGCTGTGGCATTTCTGGTAAACTGAGCGAACGATAAAAGTCATCGGCTTTTTTCACCATATCAATTATAGTCCAGTTTAAATTCTTCATCGTTTCATCCAATTGAAAGTCATTGAATGGCAAAATTAAATTTTGATAGAGTTGCCAATTTTGTGACCACATGCTTCCTATTGAATCGAATATAAGCAAATGAAATAAATAAATTGCAGTAAGTGCATGAGCATTCAATGCACAGCATTGACTCATTAGTTCTCTTGTTGGGGCTAACGAACCTAACATATGGGCTGGAATTGTGGATTTTTTGTCAAACACCTCGAATTTACTGATTCTATTCCAGAGAACATTCCTCAAAACACCGTGTAATAGACGATAAAATGGTCGAACTGCTTGCATTAATGAATCGATGACTTCTTGTAAATTGAGTAAATCGACCTCTTGTCTCCACACTGCGCCAATGTCATTGTACCCTTTTTGATGTAAGATAAAGCTGTCTGTTAGTAATTTCGATGATTAGTTTTGATTAATAGTCGTCGGTTATTTTCCTTACCATTTGCCTTAGCGCCGGTGTTCATAAGGTCAATGGTTTTCGCATAAATTGTGCCAATTTTAGTGCCAACCGCTGTTCTCCAGCTCTCCCACGCCCAATGGAAAACTTCGTTGAATCGTAATGCGCAATCACTGCGATTAAAAGCGGTGAAATCACCACTCATGATTCGATCGAATTCTTCTTCTCCCCCCAAACACATCATATCACTCGATCGTAGGTCGATTTCAGCTTTTTTATCGTCTTTCAATGGAATTTTCGACACACCATGCACATAATAATCCTTTGCAATGGTTCCATCGTAAAAGTGCAATTTGGTTACATGATTTCTGGGAAACAAAATCACACAAAAAAAAAACAGCTTGAACAAATTTTAACGGTAATCACGAGCAATCAACTAACCGATTTTTTTTCACTTCATCCAAACACAATGGTTCCAAGTGATTGGCACCGCGTGATACATAAGTAAAATCCCATATGCGATCCAAATTGAGGCACACATCAAAGTGTTTGGGTAGGCAAACTTCGGTGGTGATGAATATCGTTTGCATTTGTTGCAAATATGAAGTGAGTTGTTCGGCTTGTTTTGCATCAAACTTTGGTCCAGCACATAACAATCGGGCGCTCGCATTCAATATGGTTAAATTTGAAATGGTCGATGTGAGCGGATATTGACCGGCTAACGTGATGAGCTCTTCAATTTCCGTACACTTCAATTCACTCCATTTTGATTTGTTGGCATTGAATTTTTGCATTTCAGCAGCCGTTGCATCGTTTGGATTTACACTGATACAAAAGAAATTCTGAATGTTCAAGTCCGTATAAAAATTCAATACAGAATACAAAAATCCAAATCGATTACCTTGAATCCCATGCAAGACGAGCTGCCTGTTGATAAATTGCAACTAGATCGGTGTTTAATTTTTGAAACCATTCGTTAAAATTGTCGGCCGAATCAGAACAGGTGGTCAATCTCCATGATATTGTCAACGTTAAAAAGAGCATTAACCAAATTGGTACTCCCATTTTAATTATCTTCAGAATTTTGAGAAATGGACGTGAAAGAATTGACGTGAAAAATAAAACAATCGTTTTAAATAGCAACTTTATTTTGATCAAACAGCTTCATATCCAAGTTTCGACTAAACAGAGGCCATCAAATGGACATCCTTTTTATTTTCTCGCATCAAATGATGTTCGTACTGCTCCAACAGTCTCACAAATTCCATGTCACAGAGAGTGTCTTCAATTTATCAAAGCGAGTGAAAATTTTGCCCCTGGCTTTGTTTTTCCATTTCGCGCATGTTGTTTATACTGTGTATTCACTTTCCTCCCGGCTTTGGCGGCATAAAATTTAGATTTATGAACTTTGGATTTGCGACACTGCATGAAACATGTCCCAACTCAATATGAAAATAAATGGTTTGGTATCAGTTGGTATGCACTTTGTTTTGTTTTTATTCGTTTTATCATTTGCTTCAGGTGGGATTTGTATTCACGATAAGACTGCTATACAGACCGTGGTGAAATTGAAATAAAATTTTCTCGTGATTGCTTTTGCGTTGTATTCCATTTTAATATGCATGATGATTTGCAGTGGATAAGCCCGCTACTTAAAACTAATCCCCAGAAAAATCATGTTTATTTCCATCAAGGATTCGAACAGACTTACATTTTACATACGACAATCTAATCACGCGTCGTAACGTTAACACTGATTCGCTGACGAGTGAGGCTTAGTAACCACGCAAAAATTTGACGCCAAACCAATTCCGTTTGATATTCCGTTCATTCAGTTGAGGGGTGAGTGTTCATGCTCTCAGAGACAACATTGGCAAAGGAATAAAAGTTGGTATGCAAATGTCGTCGTTAGAATGTTAGTATAGATATGCTAGATAAAGTATATTAGAGTGGGTCGATTGAATCGGTTTTATAGATATTAAAGATGGCTAGTGCTGGACCACTATGTCCACAATAACACTTTTTGTCCTGGAAGTTTTCTGTTCTGGACTTCTCTGGGTAACTATGTAAATTTTTGTTAAATAGGCTGTACGAAAGAGCTTATCGCAAATTTTGTTCTCCCAAAAACCTGGAATCGACCCCGAATTCGAAATTTATATGCTTCTGACGATCAATATAGTATGGATTGAATGAAAATTCCATTTTAGTCGCTCCACAATGAAATCGATTAAAACCCTTTCAAATTCATGAGCTAACGATGCAGCACTAGCCATCTTTGAAATCAAGACAACCCTTCAATCCATACATCCAAGATTGTACTCTGTTAAGTCAATGATTAATGACATACGGAAAAATCATTGTTAATGGGAATAAAGATGGAAAATTTGAAAAAAAAAAATAAAACGCTTCACATCAATTTCTAAACGTTTATTAAATATTCAGTTCAAAACTACGTTCGAAACCTGTTTTAATGTTAAAATGAATACTATATATTATTGTTTTTTTTTACAATTTTCGTCTCGATTTTTGTTTAGAAAAAAGAATTAACTTTTTACTGTCGTAATTCATATAATATTATTCGCCCATTACACATACGTATATGTATATAATGTGGATAATATGTGGTCATGGCATAATATGAAATGTTCCTTTGTCCTCTCTAAAAATCTAGTGACTAGCGATTTTCTTTTAGCCATAATAGGAACTTAAATAAAATTAAATAGTGCTAAGAACTTAGATCATTTACAATTGAAATGGGCGAAAAATAAAATAAATAAAATGATAATATTTATATTGAAATCAATCAATGTTTGCTACACAGACAAAAAATATGTGCAGCATTCACACATGTTCATAAATTAATAAATTATTTCTCTAATTATTTAATCGTCCAGACTTTTCGTAAACTCATCATGCAGCTTCAAAACAATTTTTCACGTTATTTTCACAGAATTAAAACAAAGCTAAATTCATAAAAATTAAACAAAGACACATTCACCAAAGCAAATAAATTAGTTTGATTCCACAAGAAAACAAAAAAAAGTGGCAAGGTGTGTATGCGTGTGTGTATCTCTTTCTAAACGTAACACATTTAGATAAGATTAGAAGACAATGGACTATTCACTTTGACTGGGAGACTCTAAAATGGGGCAACAATAATATTTGCTGTTGCCGATGGAGGCATATACTTGTATGATATTAATATTTTGCTCTATGTTCTTGTTCGTTGGAGTAAAATGGATCGATTACTCTAATATTTTTTTTGTTTTGTTTTAGATAAATTCATACGTTGTGATGAATAATTCAGTCAAAATTGCTACAATTTACAGTGCTCAAGATCAATTTCGATTTGACGAAAAATGAATGAGTAAGATAAGGTTTTTTTTCTCTTCTTCTTTATCTTTTTGTGGAAGTGTTCGATTTGTCTAGCAAATCTATTTGGCTACGCCATGAATGTTTTCTATTTCCCCATTGTCATCACTGCCGTCGGCTTCTTCTTCATCCACTTCCTCCTCCTCTTCTTCTTCAACCACTTCTTCGTCTTCTTCGTCCTCATATTCAACCTCTTCGCTCTCATGGTCGCTGGTACCGTTCGATGCGTTTCCTCCATTCTCATTGCTCACTGGGTCTAGGTTTATAAGTGACAAAGTCATTTTGCTGCTCAAGATAACCTGCAAATAAAAACAATCAAAGCTGAGTGATTCGATTCATTTTGGCATATAGTAGATATTGTCTTACTGCTGGTTCATCAGAATTTCCGTTGACCTCTTCATTGTAAACGCCCTCGGGAGTTGTCTGCGAGTCGGAAACAAGGATCTGTGATTCGTGTGGTAAAGCACCCTCCAAGAAGATCGATTGAGGTTCGGATTCTGGCTCCGATTCAGTTGAACTCTGCAGAAGAAAAGAACAAAACCAATGTCAACTCATGTCTCCAACAAATGCATCTCATCGAATCGGCTTGCTTTCGAACAATACAAACGATTAGTTATCATGTGATGAACATTAGTTGTGATGAATGGTAACTCGCACAATTTTATGTATACTTTGTATTAAGAGATTCTCATTGTTTACCATGAATGAATATGTGAATCGAATATTTACGGCGATTGATTGATTGTGTTTCTTTGTTAAACGAATACAACACAAAATGCTATGCATCCATGAAACAAGCGTTCAGCAAAATAATTTACTGTACACTTACATGATGGATGTGTGATGCAATTAAATTTGGTGTTGGTGGCCGAGTCCATTTCTTACCATTCTCACAACTAGCTGTTATTTCGAATGAGTTTACCTGATATATGATCGAACGAATATCGCACGCAACCAAATTTTACAAAACGGTAGTAAACAATAATACAAAATGAAGTCGATTCTAAGATTTTTCGTTTTTGATTTCAAATCAAATAAAACTACGATGGAAAAATGGTTTACCTGAAGTTTTCTTTCAGCACTTGAATCTCGGCACCGTGTAGCATTTTCGATCTTCACATACTCATTAGCCTCATCATTGCCATTGGCATTTTTCTTCGAATCGGTCAATTTAACGTGGCCATTTGATTTTTCTGAATCATGTTCGTCTTTGGTGTTATCCGTTGCATCCTAATTTAGATTTAAAAGAAAACATATTCAAAGCGATTAAATGGTGTCCTGAGGGAAATGTGTGATGAATATAATTCTGAATGTGCGTGTTTCTTTCTTTTCAATGTTTTTTCTCTCTTCTCTATCGCACCATCGATAAGTGAATGAATGCGAGCTTGCTAACCTTGCTTAAATCCTCTGAATTGTCTCGTTTATTTAATTGTTCGTCGGCTGCATCGATTAATCCCTGTATCGCTACGAATGAGTTTAATCATTAATTAACATATCGCACGCAACCAATGAACCAATTGAGAGAAATGGCAATTTACCTGTGACAACTATTTCTTATCGTAGTTTCGAAATGAGACATTTGTCGAAAATATAGGGAGAGAGAGATTTGGAAGAAAAGAAAAACCTTTAGATTCATCTGAATCACTCAAAATGATCGAGTGTGAAAAAAACATAAACGAAGCAGAATGAAAAAAAAATGTGTAACGCAAAAATAATAATAAGAAACGAAAGAGAAAGCCATTGAAATCAACAAAAAGAATCACAGGCAGATTCAACGAAAGAATGAATAATAATGAGTGTGAAAAAAATAACAAAGGATGGGAAAATGACGATAAAAAAGACTTGTTCCAAAAGCATAAATTGGAACAATACAAAAAATTGGTTAGTAGTCCTTTTACTGTCTTTTTGGTAAAAAAAAATGATAACAAATACTCCGAATTGAGTATTCGAAAAATGGATGATCACAATTTTTTTTGGTTTGCTTACGACATATGGAACATAGCCTTAAATGCCCGTATCTCAGCGGGTTAATTGTACACAGGAATTCGTTTTTGGTTAGCTGGTTAACGAACGTATGCATTAACACAATTTCAATCCATGCCAAAGACATATAAATGTTAGTCTGATGCAGCGATTAGAATTAAACAACGAAAATTTTCATCGGTATTTTCATCATGGGTTAGGGATTCAGTTAGATAGATTAGTCTTTGTTCGCATTAATTTGCCATAGAAAAAAAAAAATTCGAAATTGACGATTTCGATTGTGTCGTGCGACTTGAGTGTGATAATTTTGATAAGAGGTTTTGCTTGTGTGTATGTGTTTGTGTGTGTTTGCGTGTCTAAAGTGGACACTGTCTACGGTTTTAATAGTAATTTTTGGGTGATCGCACCTGTGTCGTTGTCACATCCATTGTTGCGTCATTTGTGTTGGAAGCATTATTTTCATCGCTATTGCATTTGGCCGCTTTTCCATGAATATCGGCGATAATTTGCTCCATGGCACGTTCCGTTTCGCGCAATTTCTTTTTTAGTAGACTGATTTCCAGCAATTGCTCCGTTTCGCGTAATTGAAATTCAAGCTTTGCCGTCGTTGTGGCATCATCATAAAACGATGGTCGACCATAGTTTGGTGTTGCCGTCAGTGACGTTGTCGTTGCGGCCGTTTGATGATTACTCCCATTTAAATGACTCAATAGACTGTTAAGAATACCATTTGCATGCGAGCCTAAAAACGCACAATTTCGTTTGGTTCGACTGACTAATTTCAATTTTGCTTTTTTTTCTTTGTGTTTTTTTCTTCTAAATTATTATTTTGACCATCTTTTTTCAAAAACAAACACAAGAAGATTGGACAGCTACAATGTTTTAAGGTGAACAACAGAAAAAGCGTAAATCATACACAACAGAAAATGTTTGAAGGGAGTTGTGTGTTTTTGTGTTTGTGTGTTTAGAAAATTGCTTCCCTTAATTCATGCGGAGTTTAATATAAATTTAGATTAGAGTTGTTGTTGTTTTTTGGTTTTAAATGTCAATGCTCCATTTGCCTATCGGAGCTCTTCATGAACAACGGAAAATAATAAACATTTTGGTAAAAGAAAAAGATATTTCTGAATGCCAAATTGGTTTGTATTTTGTAGATGGGCGCAATTGAATTATTATGAATTTGGTATAATTTCACTGTGAATTTTGTGGAGAAGACACGAAATGCACCTAATTGTATGTGTGTGTGTGTGACAGCAAAAGGACACGTTTCAGTGAACGGTTAAAATGATAAAAAGTAATGATGAGATGGCAACAACAAAAACGACAACAACAAAAAAGTGAACGTAAAATGGGAACAAATTTTAAATTGGCATTTGATTTGAAATCAAACTTACTTGTATCGTGATGCTTCCATTCTATATTTTGCGAAATGGATTAAAACAATAAATGTTATTAATGATCGTCATTTTTTGCATATTAAAATATATATGCATATTTAAAGAACATACCTAAATTCGGTATTTTACTATTGTCACGTCGAAAGACTTCTTGCTTGAAATTTCCTTCATTCTTCGGTGGTGGATATGGTGTCAGATCATCTGTTTTTCTCATCACTAACTGCAAGTGGCAATGGAAATAATTCAACAAAAACAAATTGGGTAAGTGTTAGCCATAATTGGATAAGTCGATAAGACTACTCGTTACAATTACCTTCATTATGGTGTATACGAAAAACGCAACAATTCCAAAGGTGTACATCGGCATCAAGAGGCCCATGCTACTTCCTTTTTGATTTGCTTGATGCATCGCTCCGGCTCCCATTCCCGGTGGACGCATGCCTGGTATCGGCCCAGGCTGTTTACGTACCAATATTACATTTTCAATCGATATCATTCGATTTACGAAAGAGAAGAAACAGAACGAAAACAAAAACATAAAATAAGATTGATGTTGATTGCTTTGCTAGAGCGTAAATAGAATGAGATTAATCAGCTGGAAATCACTGATGCAATTTATTTTGATCATGTAAACAGCGGCTGATTTCAACTCGCTGCTCAACGGTCCATAAATAAAAGAAAGGTAGTTAATCAGCAAAGTGCGAGGCATGACCAATAAAATTAAAATACGAACTTCGCTATTTGGATAACCGTTTAACGACTATGAAAGGCTTTTTTTTTCTCTTTGGAAATGAAGGAGCCAAAAAATATTCAAGTCATTAATTTTGGAAATTGACTTTTGTATGTTTTTTCCTCTATGGAATACTTTCCGTTCTGCTTCTGCAAAAAAGTGAGACAAATCTCATTTGCATCATCACTTGAATTGCAGATTCAGAAACCGTTTAGTGCTACGTTCAATTTGTTTTGTTCCGATTTACATTGGCACAATGTCAAGTTTGGCTACCGCTAAAAATAGCATGGAAACGGGTAATATCGAGAGAACAAAGGAATCGCATGCTCTCTGTCTCTCTCTTTTACACACACACACACACACACACACACACGCACACACGCGCGTACGCATTCACTTGTAGTTTCGGCCAAACAAAAGTGTGGGACTCACATAAGCGCCTTCGAACAATTTTGTAGTTCACGTCATGCAAAAGTAATTTATTGTCCGATTGAATCACGGCTTCATCATGACTTCGATGAAAATGACATGCATACGAAGCAAAGATCAACTTTGAATGGTCTCTTTGAAATATATGGGTCATGGTCCACATTTTGCTGCTAATTTTTCCAAATAACTAATTTCTCAAAAATTACATCGGATTTCGTTCATTTTCGGCAAAACTTACTCGTCCATCAATGATTGTGATTTGATCACTTGCACGCTGTGGCCTATCACTGACAATAGGCACTGACTGTGTATTTGGTATGGCACGGCCTCGTTCGATCATTGCTGGATGAATATGATCTCCTCGTAAATGAGGCGGACGCTCTTGACGTAAGCCTGTGTGCGTTTTTTTTCGTGTCGGGTTCACGAAATTTGCGTCAACAGGAAAAAAGAAAAATAAAGAAAATAAATTAAATTTCATACTTGCATTCAATGAATAGAATTTAGTTGGTGTTATGGAGTTTAAAACGTGAGTTGTTTATATTAGAATTGAGTTTATGTTGGCGTGTGTGTGTTTATTGTATGCTTTAAAACGGAAAATTTATTTGGAAACACAACGCCCACACAGTATTAAAATGTGAATCAAAACGCATTTCATGAGGATTAGTCGGCTGATCATTCTATTGTCCATTAGGCAGAAAGAGAAAACAGATTAAACAATTGCATGACTCTCTATCGGTTCTTCGGCGATTATTTGAGCCTTGCCTCAAGCAATTGTGTTAGAACATGACTTAGTTCACCCATTAACATACTTATTTCGCCCGTCATCAGATTCAACTGTTTTCGATATCCGGATTGACCAGCTGGCTGTGTGACATTTGCGTATTTTTCGTGATCTAGCACCATTCCACAACATCCTTCATGATCGTTCACCCAACATTTTTTTGATTTGTTTTTAGTTATTTGAAATTTATTCGAATTGAAAATCAATTAGAAAATCGAACACACTTACCACCGGGTTTGCTGCCCAGATCTTTGTTCAAGTAGTTGTTTTTAATGGGCACTTCGGAGGCTCCGAACATCATCGGGTAGAAAATTTTCGGCCATAAAATTGCAATGCATCCGATAACCGTGGCCAGCACAAATATCGTTTTGCGTGGTCCAAGTGGCGGTGTTGCTTCGCTCTGGTTATATGGATAATACGGTGGATTCGTTTGAGGTGTCACATTTTTGGTTGCCATCTCGTTTGCGTTGTCCAATTGATTGCTTTTCGAAATCGATGCGCGCGATTTTGTTATTCCCTTACTCCAGCGTTCACGGTCACAATTTTCGCTCTATTTCTCTTAGTTTTCTATAGTTTCGTTCGGTTCTTCTTTGAATTTATTTCAAATGGAAAAATCTACTTTTCAATTCAATTTGATATCATTATTTTTCAAATTAATCGCTTCAACACCACTGGAAAGAATTTGATGTTCTGCAATGGACAAGAAAGAAAGAGAAATCGCAATGTTATAAGAAATATAATAGCTAATGTGTCATCATTTTTTAATGTTGCATCTTTATAAATAAACATGGTTGAACTTGAGACATTTCGCTCCCTCTCACTCCCCCTCCCTCTCTTCGAATTTATGGTCTATATGCGAAATGTGTGCGCGTTACGTAAAAGGCTTTTGGGGAAAATTTTGTAATGCGTATTAACGCTACGAAAATGACAAAATCTAAGAATAGACTATTCACTTCCTAAAGATTGTTTGATTTGAAAACGATTTGACTTTCAATCAGTTACTGGGAATGCCGCCGACGACGTGGAATTCAAAAGGTCACGCGTCAATGGGATCAAAAAACTTATAGTTTTGATCGGTGAAGATCACAAATTCGGTCGGAGAATTCACTACGAACCGTTGGTATGAAAACTCAATCGACTGACCGAGAAAAAAGAACTGACAGGAGAAAATAAGAATGAACACATACACACAGACACATACCATTTGGCAAACAATTTAAAAATAACTGCACAATTTATTTTTGATCTTTCAAATTAACGCACGAAGAGAGAGAGGGAGAGAGAGGGAAAGCCGAAAAAACTGATGCGCGCATGAGATTCATTTGTGCCTTATTAAATTTATTATATACCGTAATTTTTTTTGTATTTTATTTTGTTAGTTTTTGGGATTGAGCCGGTGTGTGTGCATCGCAAACATGCTAACGATTGAATGAAACCGTCAGACCGAGTAGATTGGTCTTAATTGTATTTATAGAATATTTGCTAATAAAAAAAAAATTCAACGAAAAAAAAACGAACGATTATTTCACACGATTTATTATGGTGCGCGACAAAGTGCATACTCCAACGATATAATCTGTGTGCGTTATTGTCACAAATGGATTTTTGTTTGTCGAAGAATTCATTTATTCTCTTTCCCAATACATCCAACCGCTCACAGAGGTTCACACAACAAACACTGTATGATTGGCCGATGCATGTGACTTGGTTATTAATTGCCAAATTAAAGTATGCGCCGAAATTGTTCGCCCATAATAAACTTCAAGTGCGTGTTAAATGGCCGCTAGGAAGTGTAAATTTGAGCTCAGTTCGGCTTATTGTTTGTAAATTTAGATCAGCTCACACAAAAAAACATGGCATCATCGGCAGCTAGAAGTGCGCTACACGATATATTGTAGCAATCTCAGGCAATAGAACAGAAAGTCTGAAATAATTCTAGCGAAAAAAAGAGAAAAATAGTCTTATTCTGCCACCCTTGTACTCTCTCTTTCTCTCTCTCTCTCTCTCTCTCTCTCTCTCTCCTTCTCTCTTTCTCTCAAACCCTTTAAAACCTTCTGAAATTCATCTCCACCATTCGCCTTCGATTCAAAATACAAACGTTTTATTGCGTGAATTTTAATCTCAACCGCTCTTTTTGCTCTCGCTCTGACAACCAGAGAATATTTCAGTTTATTATATAAACATCAGCCTGAACAATAACAAAATATACTTGATTTGCTTGCTCAGCCAAATTTATTTTTAGTCAAAAAATGTTTCTATTCATTTTTCTGGTATTTTTTTTCCTGTGCCATTTCATTTGCTCACACACACACACACAACTACGACAGTACACCATCTTGCACTCACCAAAACAATTTCACTGTCTTTCACCGATAATTTCGAGCATTTTACATGAATTTTCCTGTTATTTGGAAATTAAACAATCGCACCCAAACTAGATAAATATCAATGTTGGAAACTGATCCACTGATTCGATTTGGTTTTTGTTTGAATTTCCCTGTATCGAAAAATGCACGTTTCGTTTAGAACAGAATAAATGTTCTGTGATAATTACAAACACTTGAAACAATTTTTTTCTCAATTGAATCGATGATTTGCAAATCGTTTGATCCATAACAGTTCTTTACCGTTTTCAATTAACTGCGAGTTTCGTTTTGATGAGTCAAAAAAAATTGTGCGATCTCTTTTTGGAAGGGTAATCACAACTATTTTATTGCTTTCGAAATGGTTGCAAAATGCATGAACAACATCATGCAAAAAAAAACTTTTCTTTGTATTGGTCGAAAGAATTTCGTTTGCAAACGTTCGCTTGCCTTAGCTGGTCAAGTTAACGAATGAAAAGATGATCGGTAATCTTATAACGCAACAGCCGTCGCCGCTGATTCCCGTTCGAATTTTTCTCTCATATTCATATAAATGTACAATATTTTCTATTCTATTTGCTTGGATTTATTGTGCGCGGCACCACAACAACAACAACAACAACAGCAACATTGTGTGGCTGTTTCGGTGTAGATTTTCGCTGTGTGTCGTGCCGTGGCGTGTGTGTGTGTGTCGTTACCGTAGACGTTAGATCAAATTGTCTCTGTTGTGTCTTCTTTGCCTTGGATTCCAATGTGCTTTAAGGGCCTTACATAATACACACAATAAGCAGACTTTGTGCAGTTTCGTATAGAAAAAAGAAACGGTGAAATTTTATTTATGGTTGGTTTACCATGATCAAGGTTCAACACTCGATAGCTACATTTTCTAATCGAAAACATCATTTATATTTCCATGTCACAGATGGTCGATCTCTATCTGATTCTCGTTTTGCAGTTACAACTCGTATGTTTTGAACCGAAAAATATACGGAATTGGTTCATTCCATGAATAGTGTTTGCAATTCGAATTCCGCTAGAAAAGAATCCACTTTCAGAATATTTCAATTTTCCAACAGAGGTTAAAACAAAAGCCAAATGAGAATAGAACTGTGCCATCGTGTCTCTGTCGCTTATATTAGTACAGTCCAAGTGAGCGCTTAATGTAACGCAATGTAACTTGTTTGAATGGATGATCGTCTTTTCAACATACACACTGAACAAGGGTCCACATTGTAACGATCATTACGCTTACACGATCATATGGATTTAATGGGCGAACGTTTCATGTTTATGATGCAAAACGCTGTAAAAGTACAACTCATGGACGTCAAATTCACTGATAGTTTGCCTGAACGCAACCGAATGCTCAACCAACTAAAAGTTTTACCACATTAAAAAGCAAATTATTATTAAACTTAATTGGCTGATCAATAATTTAACACTAGCTGTAACAGGCGCACATGAAACCGAAGCAGTGACATGAACGCGTTCGCGCACCAGCGTCGCTTGATCGTTAACTTTTTGATGTGAAGGCATACAAGTGATCGGTCGATATGGCTCTCACAAGCCGACCGACACACCAGTATTCATCGTATATCTGCCATGAGCGCGAGCAACACACACAAATAATTGTATGATGATGCTTGTGTACAGCAATCCTACCAGCACAACAGCCAACACACATATACATAGGCAATGGCATGCACCGAACGAGAGATCCGAATTGTGGGAGGAGTTAAAAAATGATTTCAAACTGAAAACTCGAAGCGAAAACACTAGATTTTCGATACTACGCTTATGCGGTGCTGTTAACATGTCGATCAGAAATGCGCAAAGCACTCAATACACCACTTGTTTCACATGCGATGCAATAGTATCTCTTCGACCCATATCGATCCATTCGTTCTTTGTTCAATGTTCGGCTGGTTTGCTATTTTCCATTCGCCGCTGTCGGCCGTTTGTTTCACTTTAACTGCTGCGAAACGAGCTTAAGTGCGAACGAACCCAATATACATGTACATCTGTATGCGTTCAGCACTCGTCTTGTGCGCACCGAAACATTCGTTTGGTCATAACATTGACACACACACGAAACTCGTACATATCAACACAAATATAAACACCAACCAGCCGACACTAGTGAGTATGGCCCTATGTGCGCCTGTTACTTTATCACAAATTATTTGTACGGAATGCAATAGGCATGCGTAGTCGTATCGTTGGAATTTTTCAAATTGAACTCGTTTAACTTCTTCGCGTTTGTTTATGTCTGCATTTGTATTCGGCATTGTTATTAAAGCACCATTCGATTCACCGTCATAGTAGCTATTAGATGTTCGATTAAAAAGGTGCACACTGAACGAAACACTTGGACCATTTCCTGTTAATTTGATTAGAATTTTTACAGTTATTCTGAGATTCACTTTGAACTCGATTCGATTAACTATTTTCTGTCTAGTAATTATCACCTTTAGATTGATTTGAATCTTTTGATTGATTGTCCAATGCGACATTGGTTTCTCAACTCAATCAGAATTACTTTATCAAAATCGAAGAATATTTATTTGAAATGTATAACATTTTCCGAAGGCAAACATTCACTAATGAAACAGTTTATTGATTGATGGAAGAAAGTTGAATCAATTGCTTTGAAATACCTTTGAAGTATTTTGCACTAATTCTGCATCAATGATTATGACCCGCCTCTTCTATTTGGTTCAAACACAACATATTTTTTTTTTTTCTCTTTTTCCGAATGAATTGGATCTGTTTTTTTTTAATTCAAACTTGGATTCGTTTACTGTTAACCGAGAACGGGACAGAGCCACCGAATCTGTGTCCACATTCTTAAAAACAATTAAAAGTAGTAGATAAGAAAAGGTGATGGCAGTTAATGTTAGTGAATTGTGTCTAGATTTTGCTGTAATCGTCCATGCAAAATGACAGGCAATGAAAACATCGAGAGAAGAATAGTGAGCCAAGGATGAAAAATCGATAAAGTAATGTACAATTTTCCATCCATGCGGATGTTGGCAACGCACAGATGAAATCAATGAGAAGAAGTTCGTCCAATGACTAAAAAATTCATAGAAACACCTAGCGCGCAAATGATTTGATTGACCAATTCCGAAAAAAAGACGAATGTTTTTTTCCATCAAACCAAACCATCTTGAACATTTAAAGTCTTAAAAAACTGAGCAGTCAATGGTTGACGTTATCTTAATGTTGTGTTTAGTATCTCATTCATAGTGTGTGCATTATTGAAACGGACGAGCCAATTCGAATAGTTCAATTCAAACGACGATTGTTGGTTTCTGAACGTTTCCATTCACATACATATTACCCCTCTCCGATTGACAAATGCCCGATACGGAGAAAATACTAAAAAATATCTGGCAAGAAGAACCACAAAAAAATCATCACAACAAATTTCCCCGCTTGTTTGAATATATTCTCTGCGTGTGTGTCTGCCTCTGTTGCTACTTTCAGTCCGTTTTTTCCTTTTCTCCCTGTCCCCCGTTCTATCCGGTGTTTTTCGACGCGCGCGTGTTTGTGTCTGTATGCGAATGCCAGCACAACAACCAACGTACTCATTCAGCCAATCGGCAAAATACGCATACATACACATGCGACACACCATACTTGCGGTGTGTCAAACGGCTATTGAGACGAAGGTACAGACAGCACGTTTTGAATTTTGCCAGAAATTGGTCGACACACGCATTCGGTTGAAAAAAGTTTCTTTTTTTTATTTGCCAAGCTGAAAGTATAGAAGCAAAACAATATAAAAAAAAAACAATAACCGGCCGTACCAACGCAAAAAGATTGAGAACTGTACATAATTTTTTTAATCTTGATGTATGTGATGCCGTCATTTGATATACTGAGTGTATTGCTTTCACATCAGTTTCAGTAATATATCTATCGAGAAGTTACGATATTTGGTTTGCATTAAATACGAAATTGCTTCGGCGTAAATCACAAAAAAAGAATTGCATTGAAAATATTCAACACCGTTCCGTGCATGTAAGTTTATTTATAAACCCTTGTCGGTCCATTCCAATTCATTGCCAGGTTGCATGCGTTTTGAATCAAAAGGTAAACTGGTTATGTTTTTTTTTTGTTTCGTTGGTTGGTCGGCTGTTGATGTCTTTGTTCGATGTGTGCATATATAATTTTGGCAAAGAACGGCACAACCTTGTTAAATGTGAAAATTAATAAACTTTCTAAACAAATGATGGCTTACACCAAAAACCGGTATCATGATGTGCTCACAGACAAAGACATAAACAAATGTATGACACCAACAAACTCTTTCCTATGCCATTTCTTTTAAATTTTTATATTTCAATCCAACGGAGACCGTCTTTGTATTTTATGTTTGCTGTTTGCAATATTACAACGTTCGTTCGCTGATTGCTGTGAAATTCGCATGAAACTGAACAATTTGCATTTTTACTCATTTACACACAGTCGGATTGCGTCGTATACTTGTGGTTAATAATAATTTCTTTTGGTTTAGATATCAGTGAAATTTGCGAAATAGAATCACGATGATGGCGTTTCTGAATCATTCCACTGATTACAAGAAAGAAAAGGAGTTGTCAACATCCATGGTCGGATTGACGGCTGAAACCCGGAAGATTATTGATTATAAGAGAAAAAGCAGTGCTGGTCTAGCACCACGTTTCATATTCGAATGCGCCATAAAATTGAGCATGAAACCATTAACATCGGCAACTGCCGCAATCATTTTCCATCGTTTTTTCCGAGAAGTCGAAAGCGATTCCTATGACGAATATGTAAGTGAAGATTGAAAAAAAAAATTCGATCCAATTTTTAAAGGTTTTCTTTTTTTAACTACAGTTGATTGCATCCGCATCATTGTATTTAGCCGGAAAATTAAAAGATGATCATGTAAAAATTCGCGACGTCATCAATGTCACCCACAACACACTAAATCGAGGTAAATTCATGTCACATTACATCAATTCATATCTGGATGTATATTTATTTTTCTGTTTGTTTATAGGAGCACTACCGCTCGAATTGAACGATGAATATTGGGCCATTCGAGATGCCATCGTTCAAGCCGAACTTCTCATCACACGCATGCTGAAATTTGACTTGAATATCGTACATCCGCACAAATACATGCTGCACTACATTAAATCATTGCAAGAATGGTTCAGCTCAAGCGTATGGAATGCATTACCCATAGCCAAGACGGCTGCCGCTTGTTTACAAGATTTCCATCATAGTCCAGCCATTCTGGACTACAAGCCATCGCACGTGGCCGTTTGTTGCTTGTCTATCGCTTTTGAAACGTATGGCGTTCAAGTACCGCTCACCGATGACTTTGACGAATCGACCGTTTGGTATAATATTTTCTGTAAGGATTTAACCAGTGAAAAGCATTGGGAAATAATGTCCAAAATTATGGACGTCTACAATACTGAGGCCGAACTCGAAGAATCAGTGTAAATAATGGGAACAACAACCGCAACACCAACAATAGCAACAATCCCATAAATAATCCAACACGTATTTTGTATTGAAAGTATTTACATCTAAGACATGCTTTTTTTCAATTGAATTTATCATTGAAGAGAAAATGTCGGGTTTTTTTTCTGTACCGGAATTTTCCTTTTTTTTCTACTATCAAAATATTATTTGACTCTCAGTAATTTTGTTTTCCACGTGTGGCTTGCGTTATGAAAACTGGAATGTGATACGAAAAACGAGACATTGTCGAATTTACGACACTATCGCGTATAAGATGAAATGAAAATTTAAAGAGAAAAACGACACAAACATGTTGTACAAACGAATCGAACTGATTAAGCTAATTGAAATACATATTTTTTTTTGCCACGAATCAAATGCAATATTTTTTCTATTTTGCAGGCTGAGAAGACAAAATGAGTTATTATATATAACTTATTAAAAAAACAAAATGAGTTATTATATATAACTTATAAATACAAAAATGGATTTCATTTAAACAAAATGATGAAGAAATTTGAAAATAAAATTTATTTTATTCGGAAATTAAAAATGAATCGAAGTTTTTAAAAATTTAATTTAATCTTGTTGGAAAAATAGAATTTTTTTTTCAAATTATAAAATTCGAACGATAGTTTTCAATTATTTTGAACTAGTACAAAATAACATCCACTTCAAACTGTTAAAAGTGTATCGATTCTCTCCAAAAGTCGTCACACACGACAGTGAGTGTTAGTTTCAATGTGCGCCACCCTGCAACAGCGCCATTTGACACAACACTGTCTGTCCATCTGAATTTTAGCAACAAAACACGAAATATTACGTAAAATTTTCAGTGGTAAGTCTTAGAGAAAATGCAATAAAAATGTGTTGAATGAGTTCTGTGTCAGTGGAGATCGAGTAAAAACGATGTTGAAAATGGTGTTTCGCTCGATCCTGACATTTTTTTAAAAATGAAAATGTAATGTGTTTACATTTGTATCAAATTGATGCACCGCATATCAAAGTCACCTGAATGTGTGTATAGAATGAAAAATTGCTTCTCTAATTGATTGTTTGCTTCCACGTTTAGGAGTTGGTACGGGTTCAGCATGGCAATTAAAGATCCAATGTTAGATTATGGAACGTCCGAAGAGGAGGCATGGCGATGGAAATTCATACCGTTGTATATCAGATACCAAAGACGTAGAGATACCTATCTGTACACGGTAAAGTATTATGACAAGCCTGAAGGCCAAGATTTGCTCGGAAAATTGATTGCCACCAATCGGCTCACACTTCCCGCGGGTATAGTTTGGGGTATTGCTGATGCTTTCATGCACGGTGGCCAGAATCTTCCCGGTTTCCAACAAAAATTCGGACGAATTGTTCACTTTGCATGGCCAGCCGCTGGTGTAGCAACCGCATTCACGTCGGCCGCGTATTTTTCCTCTAAATTCAGAAACGGAAAGGATGATTAGTACGTGAATAGATTTATTTAAACTTTAAATATGATTGGAATTGTTAATATTCGATATTATTATGGCTTACAGTTATAACTATGCCTTGGGTGCCATTGCAGCGGGTAGCGTAGTTGGTGCATGGCAGAGAAGCCACGTTGTTGGTTGGAGTGCATCATTATTCTTCTGTAAGTATCACGACAATGACGTTGTGGTAACTAAACCATATTTTTTATATCCCAATTAATTATATAGCAATATCATAGACCAGATATATTATTTTACAATCTCAGATCCACAATTTGAGGCGCTATCATTCGAAATATAGATTTTTATTGAAAACAAAAAAGAATTACCATTGCAATGTCTACAGAAAATTTTGAGAACCATTATTTCTTTATTTACGATCACTAGTTTTGATTTACTGTCGATCGTTGATGTCGAAATTTTTCTATTTCTGTTGAATAGCTAAAATTCTTTGGCTACTTTCCGTCAATCACGAACCTATCATGATATCATTGATCGTTCAATGTTTTTCTTTGTTGTTCAATTTGTCACGAATTGAATTTTCATTGCTATTGAATTGATGTTAGGCAACCTATGGCTTTGGATAAATTTTATTTTATTTTTTTGTTATTCTTTTATGCCCAAGTGCATCGATTCATTCAATGTTGGTACTTTAATGAATAATAATTTATTTATTTTTTCAGTAATTGGTGCATATGCTCAAAGAATAAGAATCGAAGAGGGATGGAAATGGTGGCAAATTCCGGAGCAAAATTTAAATGGAGATCATCGTTGGCACAAAGTTGCTTGGGATATTTATGAAGATCCATTGCCTAAAGGTTATACGACCAGCGCCGATAAAAAATCCTAAGCCAATCGAATCATCTAGTTTCTTGAATTTTATAAAATCTACCAAAACAGGCTGCATTTTGGTTTGCATAACGTCTGTGTAATTAACTTTGTAGCTGAAGAAAAGAAACATACTGAATAAACTGTACTGTTACAAAGAAAACAAAAAAAAACAATTCGTTGTTCAAGTCAATTGAATTTTTACCATTGGAAAATTTGAGAAATCCCAACAAAATAATAGTGTGGATTAGAAGACTGGATGATAAAAATAGATGAGCGTTAAAATCAATAACCAAATGGAGAGATAGAGCTCAGTTGCTATCCAGCAACCGAAGTTGGCTATCAATCACGCATTCCATGACAAAGAGAGATTTCATGCGTAAATTTCCAATCGAAAATAAACTATCCATTCAATCGATAAAATTGTTGTTTGTCGAAAGCTAAACCGGTGATGATAATGATGTTATTTTTCTAAATTCCTAATAATTTTTTCCCTTGTTTTCCATCAAAAGATTACGTGACATTATTACTATTTTTAAAATTCGCTTTCTAGTGGGGGACATTGAATTTTCCTTCTTTTTGTCTTGAATGAAGGAAAAACGTTGTGGAAATCATTTTTCACTGGTAAATTACTACGTTAGTTGGATCAGAAATAAAGAAATCAGGAAATGCTCTTCATGTAACAAATCATTCGGTCGATTGCAGCTCATCATTTATTGAAAAGAGAACAGAAATGGTGAACAATTTTAATTAGAAGAGACACTGTTTGTTGACTCAGTTGAAAAATGTTGAGTGGATCTGCCATTCAACGATGTGTCTTTTGTTATTTATTTTTTTTGCAGAAAAAAAACACCGACGATGTGTTGAACTTTGTTCGCAAATATTGCCCAACATCAATGTCAGTTTGCATTGCCAAACCACAACGTTAGTAGCAAACTAGTCTTCTTTCAAATGAAAATGTCGAAAGAGAAAAAATGTTAATGCCGATTTTCCGTACCAAGCAATGTTAAAATATGGTTATTGCTCGTAGCTGAGAATGCACTAGAGATAAGATGGATAGTTATATCCAGAATAGCTTGAGGTTTTAGAGAAAATAATACACGTTTCACAATGTACGCGTTAAATGTGTTGATATCATTAGATGGTTTCAGTGACTGCGTTCGGCTAACATTTTATTTGCTCCTAAGCGTTATCTCCTAGTTAGCTGCAGCTACATTTTGACTTCGTGACTACAATTCCAACAAAAATAAATTGTGGAAGCTTTCAATTTGTAACAAATATTTCAATGCTTCCCATGAAAATAAGTCATAAATTCAAAGATTCAACGAATTTTTTTGTTGAAATATTCAAAATGGCTGTAGCTAGTCACAAAGTCAAATTATAGCTAATTGGAGATGGCGCCTAGGAACAAATATTATGTTATTTGAATGCATTCAATAGTTTGAATCTGTTAAAATTTGAAAATCAAAATTGGCAATAAAAATGCTATTTTGCATAAAATGGAAAAAAGACTAGTTTGATCTTTACGTTATTTATTTTTGTGCATATTCACGTAAAAGTGGTATATGGAATGGGTTAAGAACAAGAATCGATTTGCTTGTTCACAACTCAGCTAAAATCAAGGAACTTATTCTAAAGCTGCTGGCGCCCCCTCCAATGTGGCTAATTCAATTGCTGTTTCTGTCGCGCCACACGTTTTCACTTGGCATTATTATGATAACTATTGTTTATGCGAATGCTTAATGAATGTCTGTGATCAATTCATTAAAATAATTTCGTAATTCAGTTTAACTTGATTGTCTCGTTCTTGCTCTTTCCCACTTCAGCAGTTCGTTTATTATGAAATCGATTGAGAAAAAAACGAGACGGGGGGAGAGAGAGAAAGAGAGAGAGTTTACATAAAAAGTGCGAAGAAAAAAACCCAGCGTAATTTATGCAAAGCGAAACATGTCTCTGCAAAACCTAGTAGTATAAATATCCATTCCAAAGAAATTTTATCGAACAGTGTGTTGTTGTTCCTCTTGTGAAGTAAATGTAGCTGATAGTTGTTGCAATAACGACTGAAATAAGATATCCACAGAAATCTCTAGAAATCGCGACAAAAAGTGAAAAAATAATAGTCGGAAATCATGAAGACAGTAGCCACTTTACTCGCGTTTACTTTCATTGCCTTAAATTACGGTGTGTGTTCGTGTTCGTGTGTGTGTGTGCGCTCTTTTCACCGCTTCGACATGGAATCTATTTTCATTATTTAATTGTCGATATTTTTAATGAATATTTTAGTGGAAGCATGTGATAAATCCTCCTGTACTCCCACTCCATCGCATTATGAAGAACTGGGTTGCGAGCCAATTTTCGACGAAGAGAAATGCTGTCCGATTCGGTAGAGTGCAGCAAACCTTGAATAATTATCGCTGATTTTAAATGAACATTGTCGAGAATATAACATGTGCTTTATGCATTCATATTTCACTCACAGATTCGAATGCCCGGAGCGTCTCGAAAATGGACCAAACGTCGGTTGCCAATATAGAGGCAGATTATACAAAGTTGGTGAATCGATCAATGAACAATTTCTACCAAAACGTTGTGATGCAGAATGTGTATGCGAACATTGGGCTGACGAGAAGTAAGATGGATACATGGCATTGGATTTTTAATTGGTATACCAAAACTATAAATATCTAATCAAAAAATTATATGTACATGATAATATAGTACTTACATGTGGAATTGTCGCGGTATTCCAAAGAACGAACTCAATGAGTACGAGGCCGAATATAAACTCGCCCGAGAATTGGATCGAAAAATTGATGAGCAAACTCATGAGCCAATCGAACGATGTGCAGGTTTTGCTGTCACCGGTAATTTCTCAAATGAATTGTACAAAATCTTAGACTTATTATAACCATTATATTTCTCAATCATTGTTTAAAAAAAAGACACTGCTGCATTGGTGGCATTAAAGAAGACCAAATGTGTGTTCGAGGGTATTGTTTATAAAAAAGGCGAGAAAATCACACCGGACGGTACATGCATCGAGTGCATTTGCGATGAACGCCTCAAAACTCAAGATTTGGATATAAATGTGCCACAGTGTCAGCGAAAGCAATGTGCCATCGGCGTCAGCGGTGAACAACACGATTATTTGAATCGTGGATGTGCTCCAGTTTATGATAAAACTGCTACGATATGCTGCCCAATCGAGTGGAGATGCCGTGAGTCAATACTGACATATTTTCTTCTTTCAAATTGAGTACATGCTTCGTTTCATTTTCTAATCGATTCTTTCCTTTTTCAATAGCCACACCAAATGATGTCATCAAGAAGAGTGGCCTTCCTTTGACGAATGATCGAAAAATGAAGTGCGCATTTGGAGAAAAATCGTTGAATTTGCTCGATCAAGTTTTGTATGAAGAAGGTGACAAATTGAATTGCAAATGCTACATTCCTCCAATGGTTCACTGTTTGAAAAATGCGGTGGTTTAATTATTAACAAAGTCCATTTTAATTAGGAAAAAATTGTCAAATTGAGATATTGTTTTTTTTCAATTATTTTTTTAAATAAAAAACTCTTTGATACACGATTCATTTTAGATTTATGTATAATTGTAACCACGATTATCGACTGTGTTTAATTCAATGAATTCGATCACTTTTAAGTCGACTGATGTTGGTTTACTTAAAATTGGTAAATGTTCATGCAAACGTAAGTCATTCACACCATACCTGCGTGAAGTAACTCAAACTATAGTTTTGCTATAGCAAACATCACAAATCAATTGATCTATAGAAATTCTAGATTTCTACGATTTTTGCCGCATTTATAATGCGATTTAATGGATGGCTGTCAATTAATGTGTGACGCTTTTTTTCTCTCAATTTTCGACTACGGTGAAACTCAACATCCACAGTGACAATCGCAACAAAAATGGAACACGAATAAAATAATGGAGTGAACCGTGTCGAAACATGTAAAATTCAATATACGTTTTACAATTCGAAAATACAATGGCTTGGAGTCTAGAAATGTTCTCGCAATTTCTGATACACAAAACTAGTATACTTAGGTAGTAGTACTTACTTTCATTAGGTCATTTCATAAGAATTCTTTTGTTTCGTTCATTCGACACACACGCTAGTATCAGAAGCTATAGATAGAGTCATATCACGCGAACCATCACATCTCGAACAACAACAAAAGTGCTCAAGGAGAAATCGTATAGCAAAAAAAAATTACGTGTCTCTGATAATAATAAAGAAAGTATACTTTAAAAAAGCACAAGTGCCCATTTCCAGAATGTCGAACGCGAATTTCTTCCAGATGGTAGTTAGGTGTAACTGTTATATGCATGTGAACGATCCATTATTTATTTTCTTTTTTTACCATCCAAATCTGTACGATTCTATAGAGAGAGAAAAAGACCGTCGAAAATGGTATAGTGATGGACTCGTGGTCGAAGAACTCAAGTATTCTTGAAAATGTCGAAACCACAAACAGAAACAGCACATTGGAAGAAGAAAAGTATTAAAATTGAATAAGTTCAATGAATTTTCCAACTGAAGTGACACTTTTATTTGAATTTTTGCTCTCTCTTCAAACACCCTTGATCTGGCGAAAGGCATTTCCACCTCTTACCACCAGTAAAGACCTGAAGTACTGCAAGTTTTGGATTTTCTTCCTCTCCACTCAGCCAAGTTTGAACTTTATTTCTTGGTCAATAGTGAAAAAGTATCTTGTTTTGGATTCCCCCCTTCTTTTCTATTCTTAAATTGGTTCAAAGTTTCAGGCCCGTAGCGTGGTAGGTGCGAGGGGATGCGAAGCATCCCCGAGCCGGATTTTCGCATCCCCGAGCGAGATTTGTGTATTTGCAAAGCTAAATAATTTTAATAATCGTTCTTTCGCTGAATTTTTTTTTGGCAAAGTCAAAGTTTTCCTCAGGAAAAAAAAATCCAAACAGTATTTTTTCAAAGTTCAATAAATAATAGTCATCAGAATTCAATGGAAATTTTCTAAATCATTTTTTGATCAATACATTGTTTCTGTTTCATATATTTTTTATTTCTATTGACTAGATCGAGAGGAGAGTAAGTTCATCTGACTTTGTTATGAAAGAGTAGAGTAAGTTTCTTTCGACTCAAAAATGGTTAAAGGCGAGTATGTTCATTTTTGGCGGGTCCTCGCGGTTTTCCACGGTTTCCGCGAAACTGATAAGAGATAACAACTTGGTGTCTTCGACAAAGTTGTAGCACTCGAGGTCTTCTATAACAATGTTGAAGTCAGTTATCTCTTATCTCTTATCAGTTCCGCGAAAAGCGTGAAAAATTATAAGAAAAAAAAGTTCAATATAACATTTGCTTTTTTATGTGCGCAATTTGCGCGCAACTGATAAGAGATAAGAGATAGATGTCTTCAGCAATGTTATAGAAGACCTCGAGTACTACAACTTTGCCGAAGACATCATGTTGTTATCTCCTATCAGTTGCACGAAAATCGTGAAGACCGCAGAGGCTAGACGGTACTACAACATACTCTACTTTAACGCCAACAGAATCATCAGAAAACATACTCTCCTCTTTCAAAATATATTAGAATTTTTTCACATCCTCTCGATCTAGTCAATAGATTTGGTAACATTTCTTTGGCAAACAAACTTTGTTCGATCTTCATCATTAATATAATTGCACTCTACTTCCTTTCTTGTTATTGAACGCTTTCATGATGTCATCAATAGAAATGTTGTTCAAACGTTTGTGCTCGAAAGCGATGAAAGCTAAATTGCGCATACATTCATTTGTCATGGAGAGGCGAGATGGAATGTCAATTTGAGCCAATGCAGAAAATGAAGTTTCGCAGACCGCAGTACTGCACGCAAAAGTTTCGACAATTGCAAACAATTTGTAAACTTCTGGATAAAGGTGTCAACGGACAAATGGACGGACAGCCTACTTTTTTACACAAGTGACCAAAATTATGTCTAAATGTACGAATAATGTGGGAAGCTATATACCAAATTGTAGGTTTTTAGGTTGTCTTTCCATCGATATATAAATATTACAGTTATTTTGAAGATTTGGTGACAATTTTGAGGCGAAAAAGCTGGATAGGCAGATTTTTCAAACGGACGGACGGACAAATTTTGGTTTTGTCCGTCCAAAAAATTTCGTTAGAAAAATTTCAAAATAACTGAAACATTCATATATCGATTGAAAGAGGACCTAAAAACCTACAATTTGGTATATATCTTTCCATATTATTGGTACAATTAGACATAATTTTGGCCACTTGTGTAAAAAAGTAGGCTGTTTGTCCGTTTGTTCGTTGACACCTTTACTTCTGGAAATGCTTTCCGCATTTCATACAACACCGTTAAAACGTTGAACTGGGACTTATTTTTTGCAGAGGACTTTTCCAACTCCTTTCTTTTAAATTCAATGTATTTCTTGGCCGCTTTTAATTCATATTCTGGCGGAAATTTTATGCCAAGCTTTTCAAGCGGCTTCAATTGATCGAGTTCCATATTTGGAGAATCCGACAGTGCTAACAGAATTTCGTTATTTTCGGTAAACCGTGCATCAGATTCAGCCAATGCCATGTCAATAACTTCATTGTAGCTTGAGGTAATTTGGTCGATTTCATCGGATCGTTCGCCAATACTTTCTTCAACAACGAAATCTCCCAAAAGTCCCGATCTTCTACGATTCCTCATTGGACGTGATAAACTAGCTTCCCGAACAACATCAACCGATTCAGAAATAAGTTGATTCGCATCATTCATAAATTGCTCGAACTTTTCGTGGGTGCGATAATTAGCGATCGTTCCTTTTGCGATTTCTACTACCGGCATAGCTCTGTGGTAACTCATTTCACGACTTTGAAAAATAGCGTCAGCTGGAGTCAGAGCTGTCAACAGTTCATCTATAAAAACCAAATGAAACACAAACGTCTTCTGTGTAATGACACTAAGAATACCAATACATGTGGCAATATCATCGCCATTCAAATCAATGCGATTGTATTTATCATTTTTCGCTTTTTCCAACGTTGCAACGATTTGTGCATAATTTTCCCGCACTGCTTTGGTTGCTTGGGAATGGCCAGTCCAACGTGTATCTATCAATCGCTTTACTGCAGTAAAAATATTTCTTTTTGGATATGTTAGCGTAACTCAGCAAAGCGATGACGACCGATGAATTTCTTCGAAAAAAATCGTTTGTTTATAGTTTGATATAAACAAGCATCAGCCGAAATTATTCTGAGTAGCATTTTATGTAATCAATACACTGCATATGGATTTGCTTGGAATAACTCACGGCTTACCGCAATTAATATACGAGTCGCTACGCGATTCGCTATGCAATGACGAATTTTTTGATGTAAACAGAACATTGAATACAGAAATCGCTAATTTTGCTTACAATATTCTTTATCAAATAATATCAACATTTTTTCGTTATGCAACGAACAAATGTCGTATTTTAACAGCTGTACATGGTGCCTCTCTTCAGATTTTTCTACTTTTTTTTCAAATTAAAGATTGGATGCGCCGCATCCCCGGCCGAGCAGGCCACGCTACGGGCCTGCAAAGTTTTCCTCGTTACGAATACAGTAGTATTGATTATTGTGAAAATGTTTATATCGTGAACTCGAATCCGCAACCAAATTAAATTGTTAATATCGGTGGGTGATACTATTGATTGAAAAAATAGATAGATTGAAAATACTACACATTCGCCATCTATGTATACTTAGCAAATGATGCACAAATATATTTGTTGTTGTACTGATTTGATCGCATGAGTAGATCTTCTCAATCTTCTCATGCGATTTTAAGATCCTGGGAGGGAGAAATGACCCCAGGCGTCCCTGATCTTCAAAGAAACTTTCTACCGGCTATCCAATGGCATCATTTGTTTTTTCAATTTACCTTCAATTTTGGTCAAAAATCACGTGTTGTCGAAATTTGACCTAAATGGGGTTATTTCAACCCCTGGGGCTACTCAGTCAATTGAGTTACATTTTTTCCATCATAAATCGAAAGTTCGTGAAATTTTCGGCCGATATGCCAATTTTCAGAAACTATAATAATTTTCCCGGAAATCCAAGAAAATTTGGGTCCAAAGGCGCATAATGTACTCCCCTTTCAGGGGTTCTTCCATATTGGCGTATAACTAAAAAATTATTATAGATATCGATTTGATATCTTCTAGAAAGTTGGAGGGTACGTCAAAAGTAACAAGTTAGGCAAGTTTATTTAATCGAGATACACCGTTGTTTTTGTAAAAATCGATAGGAAACAAATGTCTTTTTTGAGCGTCATCTACTGGCCAAATAAATAAAATTCACAATCGGTGTTGCTTTTGACGTCTAGTAGAGCTCAATACTGTTCTAAAGAGCTATCAACCATTTGGTTACAGGAAAAAGTTACAGTCTAAAATGGTAAATTTCCATAGATTATACTGCTGTTTTTTCGATTGAAATATCAATTTTCTAGCTTAGCATCGATGCCTAGGGTTTACTATGGTCCAAAACAGTGCGTCTAACACGATTTAGTACCGTCTTGCATCATTCAGAATTGCCCATGGC